ACAACCCTCACAAGTTTCGTGCTCCCGCAAGGAGCTGCGCCTGCGGCTCCAGAGACAACGTTTGCACATCGTCGCTTGCCCATTTCGGCACACCCCTCAAACGCTCCGTGTCCCTCGCAGGGAGATCGACCTACTGCCCGAAACACAACGTTCGCATGCCGCCCCCAGCCCATTTCAGTTCGCCACCCGCCTGTGTCGGCACCCTGCTCACACGTTGCGCAAACCACAGCGTGCTTCAGCTACGGGCCCTGTGAGCTGTTCGTACGCCCCCTCGCCAACTCCTGTGCATTCCTCGCGCGGACAGTGCCCCACAGAGGGCTCCACCTCATGACGACCTCAGTGGGAGCATTCGCGTAGAAGGCTTCGCCCAATCGCCCCCCCCCCCCCTCGCACGGATCGTGCGCCGCAAGGAGACCAGCGCGCCTCTGCGCGCTTCTTCCGCAGCGCCCCCATCCGAACTGTTCCGCGCCCCTCCGCAGCATCCCATACCCTCCTGCTCCTTCCTGCTTTGCACCCCTCCCTCTGCGCGACGAGGTCGTCGCGTCGTCGTCGTCGTCGTTGTCGTCCTCCCTCCTCTACGTACTCCGCCTTTCTGCGCCTCCTCCATCCTTCCCCCACGCTGGCAGCGCATGAGTGACCGGTGAAAGTATCGCCACTCTGGCAGACAGAAAGTCATGGCAGACGCCTCTAACCCACCTCTCGCTCTCGGCGAACGTCGGCATGACGCCTTCTTGCGCTGCCGTGAACTACCTTGTTTCCGTCCTCCCTCCGTTCGACCCGGCCCCTTCCCGCCGCGGCCCGCGCCCATCTGCCAGTGGGCGCCAACCAAACAAACACACACACACACACGCACACGCAAACACACACGCACACACACACACACGCAAACACACACATACACACACGTGCTCTCTTCGCGGTAGGCAGGTCCAACTCAGCGCGGTAACACACACAGGCACACAGACACACACACACAGACACACAGACACACAAACACACTCTGGGCGGGAGCGGCCTCGCGCGCAACGACGGGGCGGAGAGAGTGCAGCCGTCAGAACAATGCGCGCGGCAGCCGGGCACTCAACATCGCTCTGACACACACAGACTCAGCGAGGGCAACACTCGCCTACACACAGACACTTGCACAGGCACAGACACAGGCGCACACACCCACACACACACACTCCATCACACATACACACGCAAGCACATGCGCACACACAAACACACACACACACACAAACGCGCACACACGCACGCACGCACGCACGCACGCACGCACGCGCGCACGGGCGCACGGGCGCACGGGCGCACGGGCGCACGCACCCACCCACACATACCCCCCCCCACCACACACACATACACACACACGCACTCACACACCCACACACCCACACACACACACACACTTTTTGGCGGTCGCGGCCTCGCGCGCGGCGACGAGCTAGTGCAGGTCGAGCACTCGGGGGCGAGCGAGCGCCTGCCGCCGGGCCCTCCGACGCGAGGCCACGTGCACACCGACCCTCCAGGAGGCGCGCCGAAGACGGGGGGCCAAGGAAGAGGGGAGTTCTCGCACACCACGGCCTGAGGCCTTCGCGCGGGGTCAAGGGGGGGGGGGGGGCAAGGGAACGCACTGAGAGAGAGAGAGGGAGAGAGAAAGAAAACAAGGGGGGCGGGGGGGGTGGGCGAGGCGAGACCTCTGGGAGATGCTCTTGCCCCGGCCGGGATATCCCCCGCCCCTCCCCCTGGTCCACCCGCCCCCCTCTTGGGCGTCCCCGGGTCCCGGCCAGGCCCACCCTGGGCGCGGGGTGTGCTCCTGGCCGGGAGCGGTGCGGGCGTGCAGTCGGGGCCGAGCCCCGAGAGCACCCCCCAGCGGCCGCAAGACTCTTCCGGGGGCAACCCCTGCTCCAGCCACGAAGAAGGCGCGGGACGCGACACAGGCAGGGCACAAGGGCACCCTGGATGATTTGGCATGGTCGGCCTCCCCTTGACCAAAGCCAGCCGTACGTGAACAGGCGGCATGGGCCTAGAGGTTTGGAGGTCCGTCCGCGCCGATCCACGAGAGCCGCGCGGACCTCCGAGCGTGTATGTTCACGCAGCTCTATGTTCGATGGGCCTGCTCTCCACCACGACCACCATCAGTTGGAGGGGGGGAGAGAGGTGGAGGAGGAGGAACAAGGAGGAGAGGAGGAGGGCCCCCTCCCCCTCCCACTCATGGTGGTGGTGGTGGAAGACAAGCCCACCAATTTTCCTTTTGCGGGCATCGCACGAATCCGGAATCCTCCTGTGCGTAGTGGCCTCCTGGATGGAGTCCGAATAAAAAGGGGTCGGAGGATCGCGACGCGTCGCCAATGCATCTGCGATGCATCGGGCCCCGCGTCGGGCCGCAGCGCCGATGCATCGCCGATGCGGCGCGATCTTCCGAACCCATTTACTCGGATCCCAGCTAAGAGGCCTAGGACGTTCTAAAAGCAAAAACGATTACCCCAGTGCGACCCTACCTAGAAGTTGGAGCTCCAAGGCAAGCAGCACTAGTTACTATGCTATGCTATGCTATGCCGTACCATGCTGTGCTGAGCTATGCTATGCTATGACATGATATGCCATGCTAGGCTGCGCTATGCTATGCTTTGGTTTACCATGCTATGCTGAGCTATGTTATGCTAGGCTATGATATGATATGTTAGGCTGCGCTATGATATGCGAGTCTATGCTATGCGATGAGGTGTTCTGCTATGCTAAAGCGCAGCGAAGCTCGGACGAAGGTAAGCTAAGCTACGGTAAACCAGTGCTAAGATGAAGCTAAGCTAAGATGAAATGAACGTCTGAGTCCGACAACTACCCTTGGCCGAGAAGTGGACGGCGACCGGAACGGCCAGTGCATCACTCGCCAAATCTACCAAGGTTCTCTCGATGATCCTGCCATCGGAGAGATCTGCCACTAAGGCGATATCGATGCGAGGCTCAGTCAAGGTGTCCACCATCATGGTCTCGCCGGAGTTAAAGACGTCCTCGAGATCTTCCAATGTCATGTCTTTGTCACAGCGAATGTCTTCTAACGATGACCTGGACGACGCAGGGCGTAGAATTTCGCCTCGACAACTAGGACGCGCTTCATATCCTGTCCACGCGAACGCCGCTTCCCTGTGCGGGAAGGTGGGCTGCGCAGCGCCGCCGAGACATCCCCGCTGGCGCTGCGTGGCCACGCTCGGAGCGCGGGCTGCGCAGCGCCGCCGCTCCTGCGGCGCCTGGCCTCGACTCGGCGAGGCTCATATGATCGTCGTCGTCGTCGCCGCGACGATGGCGCAGACGGCCGCGACCGCGGCTAGGCTCGCGGCGACCACCGCTTCGACGCAGATCGATCACGTCCGCCGCTGTCGGGGGCCTGCCTCCACGCGACGCGGGGCGGGGCATCGCCGGCGGCCCGAGCTTCGCCAACTCATCCCAGATGTCCAGTGGCTCCAGGTGGAAGTGTTCGGCAACCTGCAACCGCGAGTCGCGCCTCTCCAGCCAGTCGTCGTCTTCGTCAAGCCGCCGCCTGCTGTCCACAGGGCGGACGGGCGCGTGCTGGATGACGCGGCCCTTGCTCAGCCTGATCGACAGGCCCGAGTTGCCAACTCCGTCGTTCAAGACACTCCGCAAACACTCGGGATCGTTGCCGATCATGTTGGTCAGCTGCAAGTGCCGAGAAGCAACGCCCTTACCATCCTCCACGCTCTTCTGAGACGTCAGATGGACGTTCGCGTCAGGCATCCCCATCTCGAGCAAGCCTGTGCTCCAGATCAGCCTGACGACCCACGCCTCTACCCTGCCCAGGCGGGCATGGTGCGAGTACCACGTGCCCCGTGTCGTGCGACTGATGAAGTGCATGTCTTGCAGGCCGTACTCAGCCGCAAAGAGCACAACGAACGCCCAGAAGCCATCCTCGAGAGCCGTGTGCATCTTGCTGCCTTCAACCCGCTGATCGTCGTTCCGCTTGGACGCGACGTCGCCCACATCGATGGCCACAACAGGCCGGGTGGGTTGTGCAGCACCACCTGGTGCCGAGGCGGGCTGTGCAGCACCGCTGCACGGCTTACTCCGCCAACCTCGGGACATGAGCGTGGGCGGCTGTGTGGCAGGGCCTCCCGACTTGAGTCGAAATTGTTACGGAAGGCGCTGCTTGCGGGGGCTCCGGTCCGGCCATCGAAGCTAGCTCGGCATCTGTCGCACATTGTTTTTGTTTTGCCTTTCATTTGCTTTGCTGTTGTGTTTGTTGTGATTTGATTTGCTTTGCGTTGCTTGTGCTTGTGCTTTGCTGTCGCTGCTGTTGTGTTATGTTGTGTTGCCTTTGCTTTGCTTTGCTGCTATGCTATGCTATGCTATGCTATGCGATGCTATGCTATGTTATGATATGATGCGGTGTGCTATGCAGTGCTGTGCTGCGCTGCGCTATGATATGCACTGCTATGCTATGCGGCGTTATTATATGCTAAGCTATGCTGGGCTATGCTATGATATGCTGTGCTGCGCTCTGCTATGCTACGCTATGATATGCGATGCTGTGCTCTGCGATGCTAAAGCTCAGCGAAGCTAAGATGCAGGTAAGCTAAGCTAATATAGATCTGAGCTAAGATGAAGATAAGCTAAGCTATGATGAAATAGGCTAAGCTAAGATGAGATAAGCAACGCTAAGCTAAGGGGACATAGCTGGGGGAACCGCGGGGCGGATGCCGGGGGAACCGCCCGGGGCGAGTTGCACTGCCCGGCCCCTTTAAGCAAAGAGAGTAAGAACCCTTTTAGGCAGAGCCTAGGTAGGGACTGTTCTTAGAACATTAGCCCAGTGCGCTAAAACGAAACAGCCTCAGCCAGACATGTTCTAAAAACATGTCGTGGGAACCACAAGAGGTTCTTAGAACATGGTTTGGTAGGCCCATAGGCGAGCCAGGACGCTTCGCCACTGCTTGACCTCTGCACCCCCCCCACCCCACCCCCGCGGGCGCAGGCTGGGCAGGCGGAGCCCCACGCCGCGCGAGGCGATGAGCAGGTGCTGGGGCACGCCTCGGCACGGGGGGGAGGGGGGCGCGCCGGTCGGCGGCCGCCGTCCGCGCGGAGGCCAAGAAACCCTCGGGCTACGACTGCGGCATGTTTAGACCAGCGCGTTCCACTGCTCGCAACATAGCTACTCGCAAATGGCCTGGACCCCCCGTGGGGGACCTACGATAAATGACGTCAGAGCAGACATGTGCTTTCCTGGCGTTTGCGAATTGGCACTTTGCAAGTCGTGGAGCGCGCTCGGTGAATACTGTTTGACTCCGGACTGGGTCGGCATCGGATCGGGCGGGGGAGTAGTTCGTGGCCGACACTGTGCCCGGAGATCTGCCCGCGTGGCTCCGCGACCCGCGCCCGAGCTTGCTCCGAGCGCGCCCGGCTGTGACGAGGTTGTGTGGCTCGAAGGCCAAGACGATGGTTTTCAAAGTTTGGTCACACGACGCATTCGGTTACGATATCGGGCACCTGTTAGCTCACACAGTCTGTTCGGCCAGAACCCTTTCGCCTGATAGGGGCCAGGTACCATGAAGAACTTGTTGCTCAGTCTGGCTTTCGGAATTAGCTGGGAGACTGCAGACTCGAACCTCAGCGGCTGCGCAGCCCCCCCCCCCCTGCACGATCAAGTGCGCACCTGCCTGCAGCAAGAGCGCCTGAGGTAGCAAGTGGCTGCACTCTCGTGCGAGGCATGACGTGACCCGCCGTCTGACTACCTACCAGAACACCCCAGCCCAACCCGAAGACCTGAATTTCGGGTGGGGGGGGTACTGGCTCCATCCGTGGTTCCTAAATGTTCCCCGACGCCCCTCCACTGGAACTGCAGGGCAATTGGCCAAGTGGGACCTCCGCGGGTTGGGTTGGGGCGGCTTGGTGGCTAGCGACCGCCGCTGGCGCCAGCGCCGCGGACCTGCAATCCTGCGCTGGCGCACGCGACGGCCGCCGGAGCGGCGGATCTGCAGTCCTGCGCTGCGCCGGCGGCAGCGCGGCGGACCCAGAGATCCGAGGTCGTGATTTGTTCAATACGGGGTCCCCAGAAGTCTCGACGCATTCCCCAAAGACGGGCTGCTCATGCCGAGTCGTTTTGTTGACGGCCCCGGGGCCTGGCGAGGGCCGCCAGAGGCCGAAAGTCTCAGGAAACCTCCGTCTTGGTGTTTTCAACGCGTTGGAGGTCTGGGGATGTCGCTGGGCCGGCTGCGCGCCGCAGCGCGCAGCCCTCTCCCACGAGAGGCTCCCGACCCAGGGGCCCAGGCCGGGCCGCCACGGGAGCGTGCCCGCCGCCCGGCCGTGACCCGCCAGGAGAAAACCATCGCCGCCGCCGCCCTCATCGAGCATCGTTGTCGTCGTCGTCGTCGTGGTCGTCGTCGTCGTGGTCGGTCGGTCGGTCGGCCGGCCGGCGTCGTCGACGTCGTTGTCGTGGGTCGGCGAGGTCGTCGTCGTCGTCGTCGTCGTCGTCGCCGCCGTCGTCGTCGTCGTCGTCGTCGGTCGAAGGCCGTGGGCCGAGGCTCGGCGGTCGAAGCGTTTGGAAGTCGTGGGGCCCTTGCTTGGCCCTCGGGGGGGGGGGCCCCGCTGCGGCGGCCTGCTGGGGTTTCGCCTCGAGACTCTTCGCCGCGGCCGTACTGCAGAGGGCGGGGAGGGCGAGGGGATGGGCGAGGGAGGGGGTCGATCCTCCTCCATCCTTCTCGATCCTCCTCGGTATGCGATCCTCTGCCCTCCTCCCTCCTCGATCCTCCTCGGCCCTTCTCCTCCCGATCCTCCTCGATCCTCTATTCTCCGTCCCTCTTCGGGAGAATATTGGATCCTCCCTCGATCGCACTCGATCCAGTCCAGAGTTTACATCAGGCGGTGGGGGAGAAGGGACCCCTTGGCTTGGCGTCGGATGACAGTTGACGGGTGTCAAGAGGGGGGCCGAGGGCTAAACAACACATATACGACGGACTCCCCTTGCACCTTTCAAGCCCCTGGGAACGAGAAAGGACCACCCATCTCTTGTGAAAACCATGCGCTGAGATAAGGTCGGGAGGTCGGCTCAGATTTCAACACGGCACTTCGTTTATATGAATGGCGACGCCGGCGCTAAAGACCCAAGGACACTATCATCGATATTTGTCATGGCAAGTAGAGAGACAAACGGACAGAAGGCAAGCTACCGCCATAATACGTGTCTTCCTCTTCGAGACTCAGCGTCGTAGCGTGCGCAGAAACACAAAAAGGCTCCCCAGGGCAATCGGCGACTAACAACTTCCAGTGGGACACTCGAGACAGACTGGCTCCTCAGTCGATCCATCTGCTGCAGGGGAAAAAGGAAGCGGCGCGCGGCATCTAACTCCTGCTGCCTGCCCACCCGATCTTCTCGACCCTTATACCTTATACTGGAGGCCCCGCTATGAAGACCCTTGAATGCGAGGTGGGGCCGAACATAGAACCTCCAGCCGGTCAGAACGAAGGGGCCGAACGGTCATTCACAAACCCCACCCGCAACCCACCCGCGACCCACCCCGCGACCCGTCCACATTTAACGAAAAAATCGGCGCCCGCGGCGGGCTCGTTGTACCATTTATGAAAATGAAGCGCCTGCGGCGGGCTTCTTCAGAGCCTCGCAGACTGCCGGCGTCCCCACCGCCCCATCACTCTTATCCACAACTGCAGGGCGCTGCGTGGCCGATTCTGGAAACCCTGAACCCAAAAGCGTTTTCACCTCTTGGAAACATGTTTTGTATTTTCGCCGCCTTCTGCCGGCCTCCTGCCGGCGGAGACGGCGTCGTTCTACTTCCGCCGACGTTCCGCCGCCCTTCTGCCGCCTTCCGCCGCGGAAGAGATGACAACTCCTCCTTCTCCTCCTCCTCCTCCGATCATCCTTTCTCCCCCGTCCTACAATATGGTAGTGGTGGTGGAAACCGGTCCACCATCTTTGGTACAATCGGACCTGGGCCATAATTACATCCTTCAAGAACATGAGACCCTCCGCCGGCAAAAACAAACAAAACACATCAAAGTGTCCCCTCCCCAGGATGCACACGAACGTCCAGCAAGCCCGAAAAATACTACCCTCCTCGAACCGACCTCGATCGTATACCTCGGTCCGACAGTAGTGGTTCACTGTCCCCGGCCCTTAACTTGCGTGGGGCCATTGATTTGTTCCTTCGACGAGTAACGAAGTGGCGCAGGGCTAGCAAACAAAAAGGTTGAGAGTACCCTGGCGAAACATTTGGTGTTCACCAGCTGTTGAGGATGTCTCAGGCCGAACGCTACGTTTTGCAGAGTTTGAAGATGTCTCGATCGGAACCCCTGTTCTACAACATGGCTTGGGGATATTTCGAGCGAAACGTTTGTTGTTGTCTCTGCTCCTGTGGACTGAAATCACATCCATTGTGTTTTACGTCTGTGTGTCAGATTCATTCCTGCGCACTTGCATAACACCCAATGTTATGGACTGAGCCTGCAACCTAATATCAAATCCGTTGGGTGTTTTTACTGCTGGGCCTATAAACTGGTCCCAAACCTTCTTGTGCTTTGCATCTGGTCTTGCGGGCTGGCCAGCACGAAGCCAGGAGGCCCCAGGAAGCCCCCGGAGGCACCGGGAGGCCCCCGGAGGCCCCCATGGGGGCCCCAGGAGGTCCCCAGGAGGCCCGAGGCCCCTGCAGGCATCGGGAGGACCCAGGAAGCCCAAGGAGGCCCCCAGGAGGGCCCCAGCAGGACCCAGGAGGCCCCAGGATCCGATGGGAGTTGCGCCTGTTCTTAGGGATCGGCTTCAAAACCACGATGTGTTACTGATGTTCTTGCAAGCGTGTCGCACATCCCGTGGTTGACGTACGTTCCTACGGACTGGTCTCAAACCGTAATGATGTACAGCCCTTCCTACTGGCTGGCCTCCAATCCATTGTGTTACGTGCGTCACGTGCGTCTGTTCGTATAGACTGGCCTCCATCCTTCGTGTGGCTACGCATGTCCCTATGGAGCGAGCGAACGTGCCTTGCAACGTGCCTTGCACAAAACGTATGTTCTTATGGAATGAAATCAACAACTCTGTTGTTTACGTATACTCCTATGCACTTGTCTCAAAGTCATGGTGCTTGTATTTGTTCCTGCGGACTGGTCTCCAATTAAAGGTGCCTTACACATGTTCGTCTGGATTGGCCTCAAGTCATTTGTAGTTCTGGGGATGTTCATGCAGACTGCTCTCAAGGCTGTTGTGCTTTGCGTATGTTCCTATGGGCTGGCCTCAAAACCATTGTTTTCCATGTATGTTCCTTTGGACTGGCATCACATTCTTGGTGCTGGACACCTGGTCCTATAGACTGGTTTCACTTTCTTGGCATGTTAGACAGATTCCCACCGACTGGTCTAAATCCCGCTGTGGCTTGCGAATGGTCATATGGACTGGCCAACTTCAAGAGGCCCCTGCAGGCCCTGGGAAACCTCCAGGGGCATCAAGGGGGCCCAGGAGGCCTCAGGAGACCCCAGGAGGCCTCAAGGAGACCCCTGGAGGCATCGGGAAGCGCCAGCAGGGGCCCTGATCCACAAAGCAGTAGAACGCGTCGCAACTCAACGTCGCATGGCGCAACGCAACCTGGGCATCCTCCTGCCCGATCCGTGGCGCGTCCCCTGGCGCGCTGGCATTACATGGCGCGTCCGTCGCCATGCCCCCTGACATGGCATGCCCTGGCACCTCCCCAGCACGCCCATCGGCGCGTCACGCGGCACGTTCCCTGGCTCGTCCTATGCTGCGTTTCCCTTGCCCGCTCCGTGGCGCGTCCTTGCCACGCCCCGTGGCACGTCCGTTGACAGGTCCCCTGGTGCGTCCCTTGGGATGCCCCCTGGCATGACGTCCTCTGGCACGCCCCACGGCGCGCGCCTTGGCACGTCCCGTGGCGGGCCCCTGACACGAGAGAAGGGCCCGTCCCCCTGATACGTGCCCTGACACGTCCCCTGAGAGTCCTGTCATTGAATTTAAAATGCGTGTAGTAAAATTGCGGAAATCAGCTAAACATGTTGTACACATGTTGTTTACATGCCTAAAACATGTTTAACACATGTTTTAGACATCTGGAAATTATTTGGCAACATGCTTCCTCTCCATTGATCGTCCTCCAGAACTCTAAGGCATCCCCTAAGGCGTCCCGGGCACATCCCGTGGCGCGTCCACGCGCCCTGCGCCCCGCGTCGTCTCGCCCAACTGAGCCGGATCTCGAGCTCGAGCTGATTGAGCGCCCCGCACGTCTCGACGGCAGCCAGCTCTGGGCCAGCCATGCGCTCAAGCAGCTCGAGCTGAAGATCCGGGTCAGGCTGGTCAGGACTCGGATCGGACGCGCAAGGACATACTCTCGCAGTGTGTGGCAGTGTGCCACTGTTGGAGGCACGCGTCGGATCCGAATATCAAGTGCAAACAGCTTGCAGTACACCGTTTCCCGAGCGGTACAGCAAAAAAGGCGCCCGCCGCCGGGCGAACCATCTAAGATATACCAGTGCGCGCGTCGCCCCCGGGATGCAGACGCACACATCGTATTGTTATGTTTGGGCCATGCGGATCAGATGCTAAGGACGACTTGATCAAGTCAACTCAGCGCGGCACAGCAAAGCACAACCCCTGGCACAGTACATCACGATCGACACCTTCAACATTGAAGTGGCCTGTCGCCAAATCACCGTGCCTCACATGTCTAAACTCATGCCCCAATTCGTGGGTCGATCATGTTGTTGACGGCCTCCAGTCGGAAACGACCCCGAAACGACGGTAACTATGAAAGGCCTTGAAGGATGGGTTCTCCCCAATCAAGATCACCCGCCCGACCACTCCTGGCGTTCTTACCACGATATCCAAGCGACTCTGGCCGTGCGTGGCGAAATACAACGCCAAGCAAGCCAGGGGTGGTCGTCGGGCAATACATCGGCCATGAGTCGGCCTTTCAAGGCTTTTCTGGGCTCAGCCGGAAGGCTCTCGATGAGGCGCATCGGTTGGAAAACACCCTGGGCCCGACATCCGAAAACATGACGAGACGACCTCCTCATCATCACCGCGACCTCATCCTTTTCCTCCTCCTCCTCCTCACCAGCATCATCCCGGTTTTTCCTTCTCCTCCTCCTTTTCCTCCTCCTCCTCCTCCTCGTCGTCTTTCTCCACCTCCCTCCTCAAACGTACCCTCCCCGACCTCTCCAAGGGTCGGTTCTGCCGGAGATTGCGCAAGGAATCCGGCCACGGCGGCGAGAAACCTCTCGGAGGATCAACAGCAAGAAAGGGGACGACCCACACCGCAGCCCCTCGAGCCAAGCTCTGGAGTCCCAAAACGGTGCGGTGACAGACCGTGCGGTGACCTCGAAATCCCCCAAGACCTCACCGCACGGTCCGTCACCGCACGGTCTTGGGACCCTGGAGGCACCCATCGCCCGAGACATCCTCGGAGAGGGGCTCGAGTCCCAAAACCGTGCGGTGACCCCGAATCCCAACCGACTCACCGCACGGTGTGGTCACCACACCGTTTGGGGGCCCCCGACAAGCAACACAAGCCTGCACAGACAACAGCTGCCGGATGTCCGCGCAGACTTCCTGGACAGGCGCTGCACAACCCCCCCCCCCCCTCTGGACGCGCGGAGCCCGTCGGGGGCGGCGCCCGAGGCGCCGCACCAGGGGGGGCCCACCAGCCGCTTCGGGAACCCCGATCCTTTCGATCCCCCGTCCTCGCCATCACGATCTGGTGATGTTTTTGTTCTCTCTCTCCCCAGCGAACCAGGGGGGGATGGCGACGAGACGAGGAGGAGGAGGAGGAGGAGGAGGAGGAGGAGGAGGAGGAGGAGGAGGAGGAGGAGCCCGTCCAGGGGGAGGGCGAGGAAGGGTGCCGAGGAGGGGCGAGGAGGGTCTCCGGCCCGGGGTTCTCGCGTGGTCCGTGGCCGTGCCAACCCTCGACCGTCGCGGGGCCGGCGAAGTCCGGCGTCGATCGAGGACGAGGCCGCGCAGGGCAGGCGAGTTCCCATGTGGAGGATGTCTCGGGCGAGACGCTTCGGCTGCGGAATCGGCTGCGGATGTCTCGCGCGAGACGCTTGCTTGGCAGAAATCGAGGATGTCTCCAGCGAAACGCTTGTTCTGCAGATTCCGTTGACGATGCATCGAGCGAAAAGCTTGTGATCACCTGTCCAGGCCACGAGGCCGCAGAGATGCGTGCGTGGAGGGGGTATCTAACATGCGTCATGCGCCCGTTCATTTGGCACGTCGTTCCACGTGTCTAGGCCAATCAAAAAGGGATGGCCCTGTCTCAGCGTTTCGGCCCGTCCACCGTCCGTGCGTTCCGCTTCGCTTCGGATTCGCCCCTTCTGAGTTTGTTCCGCTTCGGAAGCGGATCGGATCTTGAACTCGAGCTGGTTGCGCGCCCCGCACGGATCGACTGCAACCAGCTCTGGGGGAACTATGCGTCCAGGCAGCTCGAACTTGAGATCCAAACCGGTCAACATTCGGATGCCCCAAACGACTTGGACCACGAAGCGACGGAATACGGAACGAGCCAACACGGCATGACACAGCACAGGTCAGCAAAACACACACACACACACTCGCACACACACACACACACACACACACACACACACACACACACACACACACACACACACGCACACACACACACACGCACACACACACACACATCAGTCGCTTGAACCAGGATCGCGGCCCTGGGGGCGCACATCCCTGAGGGGGTCTTGGCCCTTGGGGAGCTCGACTCCATCGGCAGGACACGCTATAATGTTTCAGGATTCCAGGAGGGTGACCCGAAACGTTTTTGGCTCGTCCTAGTTTCAGCTTGTTTTGCTCCGATTCGGTTAGGGATTAGGGTCGGTTCGGCCCTCGTCTCGGTTCGTATTGCTTCGCTTCGTCCTGTCTCGATGTGTCGCGTCTCGGTTCGCCGCGTTTCGGTCCGTTCGCTGTCGGTGCGCTTCGCCTCGGTTCGGATTCGCATCTTCTTGGCTCGTCCCGGAGCTGGGTGGCCAAGGCCACGCTAACGCCAATGCTGGTTAACGGCGATGTTGGGAATCTGCTTTTTGAGACGCCGAACTGTCTCAGGGCACGTTGTGGGAAAACGCGAACAACGCTTTCCAACAATCGGGTTGGCCACGAACCACCCCACATACAATACCGACACCTGCTTCGCCGTCGCATACATCGCCGAAAGCGTGTCTACGGATTGAGCGCCCCGCACGTTTCGATTGCATCCAGTTCTGGGCCAGCTATGCGCTCAGGCAGCTCGAGCTTAAGATCCAGATCAGGTCCGCCAGGGTTCGGATGCTGAGGGCGACTTGGTCAACAAAGCTAAACAACACATCTCAATTCAGCACAGCACAGCACAGCACAGCCCCTGGCAGAGTACATCACGATCCATACCTTCAACATTGCAATTGCCCGTCGCCCAATGAACATATTGCCATGCTCCACATTTCTACAGCCTCGGGTACACATAACGCTCGGGTGAGGCGGGGCAGGTCGGGGCGGGGGTACGCTGCGACCGCCATGCGTGCGCCGCGTGCGCGCTGCGGCGGGGGGGTCCAAGGCCGCCCACCCCTTGCGTACGATCGCTACCGTTACGCGTGCCCGTCGCCGCTGGGGGGGGGGGTTGCGCGGGGGGGGGGGGGGAGCAGGTGACGACCTCCACGCGCCAGAGGACAAAAACCAACCTCCCCGACATCTCCGACCCCCCCCCCCTCTTCAAGAGCCCCGCTCCTCGGCCCCTCGCCCCCTCTCGCGCCCCCCCTCCCCCCGAGCCTCCCCCCCCCTCCCCTCCCCTGCTTCCCCCTCCCCCCACCCCCCTCCCGGGGGGCCGCCTGTGCTCCTCGCGATGAAGAGGCTGCCCGCCCCCGCGATGCCGGTCGTCAGGCCGCGTATGAAGTACCAGGGGAAATACGCACCTCGGCGACGGGCCGTGCGCTGGGCGTCGACGGGAGACGTCGGGGACGACGAGAGAGGGGACGGCCTCGGACAGTTCGAGGTTCGAGATTCGAGGGTCTGGGTTCGGGAGAATCCTCTGCCTGTTCTGACCTCCGGGGGCCGTTTTCGGGCCCCAGGGCTGTCAAGAACGAATCCGGGGTGAAAGCCTGCGCCAGAGGGACGCCGGGAGGGGTCCCTGGACAGATTTTGAGCGCATTTGGCCTCAGCCCCCCTCCTGACCGATTTCCTGGATGGCCGACCAGTTCAGACTCCACGGCCGCCGCCAAGGGATGCTCGGTTAACCATGCTCGATTGTACGGTCAGGAACTTTTGAAATGCGTGTTGCGGCTGCGGTCCCGGCGACACGCCATGCCCTCCGCTGGCCTTACGAATGGATAGAGTGTCGCTCCACTCGGGGCGGGAATCACGGAAAAGCTCGGGGCGTCGACTTGGAATGCCTTGCCACCCCCACTGGGATTGAACAGCTGCCTTGGGAACTCATGGAGCATAGGCAAGTGTTCTGGAGTAGGTCTTCAACTGCCCAGCATGATCGCAGAGAGGAACTGTCGTGGGTCTTGGAAGCGCTTCGAGCCATGGCCAGGGGGGGGCCCTTGGAACCTCGGGGGTGCCGAGAGCCGCGCGGTTGTTCAAGGCTGATGCTGCTACCGGTGCGGATGGCTGGGGGGCCCGCCTCTTGGAGAACCTCCCTGCTGCCGATGTCGGGGTCAACAGTTGGGCTGCTGAGAGAAGGAACGCAACATAAGGAACGAAGCCCCTCATTGGCCCTGTGAGCGCCTCCGTGCCCCAGGAGGGCAAGAGGAACAGCACTGGAGGAGCCTAAGGAACATCGAGCCCCTTCCGAACCCAAACTGTTCCTTATCTCAGCGTCTTGACTGTACGCTTATTGGCCCAGTCGCCTTCGGGGGAGAAGGAGGAAAAGGAGGAGGAGGACGAGGAGAGCGAGCGAACCCAGGGAGGAGGGGGAGGAGGATGAGGAAGAGGAGGGGGGGCAGTACGAGGAGGAGGAGAAAGATCGACGTCGGGTGGGGGAGGAGGGAGGAAACTGGATGATACGTTTGATAGTGTCTTCATGTGTCGCTGAACTTCGGTGGCTTTCGGGGCCCTCGAACTTGTCAGGAGGTCTTCGTTGGCATCCCGAGATGCTGGGGAAGGGAGCGGGGGGAGAGATGATGGGGAAGAACGGATTGCTTCAGGACGCCCAAGTGCCGCGCACACCTGGGTGTTAGGTATCGCCAAAGTCGCCATGCTTTCAACAGGAACGTCAGAGGAGGAACCAAAGGGCTTTTCTGGCCATGACGAGCCTCGGTTACGAATTGCTTTCCTGACCATAGTCGAAAGAATGGCAGACAAAACACAACAGAACACCTCCTGAGCCCAAAGTGGTCCTCACCTCGCCGTCTTGACTGCATGGCGCGTGGGCCTCCTCCTTATCCTCCTGGCCGCCTTCGGGGCCGGGCGAGTCCAGACAACGACAGCTCGAAACCAGTCTTAGGTCGGGCATGTCCCCCGACAGGCAGATTCTTGGCGACAAAAGAAAAGATGGCCCAAAACTGCTCGAAAGTGTCAAAAGAATGGAGAGATCGTCACGATGCTGGTCTTGGACTATTTGGGAATATTCCTCCTGTAGAGGGACAGGCCTGACTTAAAATCAGTCCCCAAAATCCCTCCAGGGGTCCACGCGCACCAGCTCCCCGGGCTGCGCCCCGCCGCGAAGGCGACGAGGGGCCTCCCCGTTAAGGCCAGCCGCCGCCGCCCTCTTCCCCGACGTCCCTGGAGCTCCACTTGGGGCTCTCCGGCAGCCTCCCAGAGAGACCCGCAGACGGGGAACAGCACACACACACACACACACACGCGCGCACACACACAACACACACACACACGCACACTACACACACACACACGCGGCGCAACACGCACACACGCACACTACACGCACACAATTTTGTTGCCACCCGCACGAGCCCACTGGCCCATCTGCGCCCACGCCTCGGTCTGCGTGCACATGCTCACTGACTTGGCCACTCCAGTGAGCAGCGGAGGCCACCTCTGTGACCTGTGCTGCACCTGCACTCGCCAGCTACCTCTGTAGTGGCAAGCGGTTCCCCTACTCGCTTGCCCACGCACCCTGAGAGACTCATCCAGAAAATCCGCTACAGCCCACTGCAGACCGGAAAATCCAGAAAGCTGAAAACTCACACAGCTGAAAAGCTCACCCCTCACCCGTGCAGGATCCGGCATCACCTCTTCTTGGCCTTCTTCGGCCCCCGGCCCTCCTTCTTACCACCACCGAAGGCCTCTTGGCCGCTTTGCTCTCCAGCGCATGATCGAATTGAAACGAGATGTCGAGAGGCTTCAGACACTGAGTGGCACGAAACAGTTGAAACATCGCCTCAACTTTCGGCAGTCTCCCAGAGGCCCGCAGGCGGGGAACAGCACACACACACACACACGCGCGCGCGCACACACACACACACACGCACACTACAAGCACACTACACACACGCGCACACGCACACAACACACACACACACGCACACTACACGCACACTACACGCACACTACACGCACACTACACACATGCACATACACACACACACACACACTTACTTTTGGCGTCGCGGCCCCGCGCGCGGCGACGGAGAGCAGAAAACCGAGTGCAGGCAGCGTGACGCGCGCAACTCCACACCCATACACACACATGCACACGCACACACACACACCTCGGACACGCGATGTCTCGACCTGTTCAATGCAGGGCCCCTGGAAGTGCCGACGCACCCTGTCCCCGGGGCTGGCTTCCCGTCCCGAGCCATCCTTCACGGGCCCGGGGCCCCCCACGGGCCCCGGGAGGCCCGTGGCCTGGCCAGGACGCGAGCATGTCTGGGCTGGCCTCCCGGGACCAGGTGGCGGAATCCAGAACCCAACCCCCCGGCAACCATCGGTCCTCCTGAGTCGACAGGAGGCGGGGTAGTGTTCGGATTTCGCCACGCGTTCGACGAACTCCGAACCCTACCCCCGCCACCCATCGAGTTGCCTGAGTCGTTGATCGGCGAAGGCAAGATTCGGAGTTCGCGCCGCCGAGGGATGCCCCGGCAGCCTCCGCGTAGGCCCGCAGACCAGGGAGCAGCACACCCCGGAACCCCGACACTGCAGCGTCCCGCGCTCGGCCGGCCCACGTTCCACTGAGGGGGGACGTCAGGGGAGGGGATCGGCCTAAGGCCTGAGGGGGGACGCACCGAGCTGGGATCGGCGATGCACCGCCAGCAGATCAGCGACGAATGAGCGATTGCGGGTCGATGCATCACCGGCTGAACCCATCTCCCCCTCATGTTGTACCCCAGGACCCCGAGCCTTCACAGCGTCCTGCGCGCGGCCGGTCGAGGTTTCCCCCCCTCCCCCTGGAACACGAAGCCAGGACGAGGATAACATCGAGTGAGGATAAATCGAGAATCTCTGAGATCTGGCGGCTCTGCTGGATGCCTCGGGCGCTGCGGCCTTCTCAGACCGTTCCGGAACGCTCTGAGAGCGTTCCGGAACGCTCTGGAGCGGAATTATCCTCGTCCCAGCCCCGTCCGACCCTGAGCCAGTCCCTCAGTCTCGTTGACCTCAGATTGCCATCGTGCAAGGTCGCTGCGTCCTCACGCGCATGACTCTTTTAGAGGCCCCCAAGATGGGGTCGGAGGATCGAGCCGCATCGACGATGCATCACCGATGCATCGGCGACGTCGGCGTGGAGAAAATTGGGCTCCACATCGAGCCGCATCGCCGATCATCGCTGATGCATCTGCGATGCGGCACGATCCTCCGACTCCATCTTTTCTGGTCCCACCTGGGAAGCCTACAGTCAACCCGTATAAGCAGGGTGCGCGATAAGGATGCAAGGGCCTGATAGGGCCATGTCAACGTTTTTCGAACGAGGTTGGCCATCGAAAGCCGCTGAGGTTAGGCCGAAGGGGCAAGGATGAAAGGGTAGCGTTGGGAAGGTGCTCATCTGATCAAGCCACTCAGGTCATGGTAATGATGAGATCAAAGATTTACAAAAACGGCCCCAAATTTGGAACATCTGTTTGGATTTAGTAAACCAGCTCTTGCGTTTACTAAATGATGTCCTGTGTTGTGTTGACTAAGCGGCGCAATTTGATGAACCCGTTTCTCGCTTTAGTGAACCATCGCTATGACAATAATTTGTTTTAAGAACGCGCGTTCATTCATTACCATGACCTACGTTAGCCGGTGATCATCCTTACCACGCGGGCCTGCCAGCTCCTCCCTAAGCGCCGCTGGGCGACAACTGGCCGCGGCCCGGCGCGCGGACAGGCCCCGGTCGAGGCATGCACGGGCGCGGCCCGCAACCTGGCCGGGGCGCGGCAGAGGGCGCCCCCTGGAAGCCGGAACTGCCGCGGCATTTTGCCACTGATCACCGTTTATTCCAGACATGCTCAAGTAATGCATCACACCAGAGAAAAACCCAAATCAGTGGATGATTTGATGAGATCGATGGTGAGATCGATCGAGTGAGATGAATAATTAATGAGATCTATCATGAAATCGACAGAGAATCGTGGGATCCCCGGAACCCGGGATACCAGGAACAAGGGACCCACCGAATCGGCCCGGAACCAACAACCAGGAAGTCGGGTACCCGGAACCCGAAACCCGGGAACCCAGCCGGCTACCAAAATCGGCAGGAAACTTTCGCTAAATCTTAAACCCAGACCCCCGACGTCATGAATTTTTCAGAATGGTCTCGACCCCTTCCCCGGGACCGGTTCTTCATCCAGAGTCGTTTTTGCTGACGGTCCCAAGGGCCGGCAAGGGCCCCCCGTGGCCGAAAATAGCCGAAAACGTTCCGTCGTGATTATGTCATGGCGCGAGGGGGTCTGGGAATTTCCGCGAGGGCCCCTTCAGTGCAAGCACTGCTTGGGGAAAGCTCACCCTCATGGCTGGTTTTTGGCTGTGCTGCAGGGCTCGGGCCACCGTCGTCGGGCCACAGGGCGGTCGAGGTGCGGCTCGCGAGGAGGAGCTCGCCCTGGGGACGGTCGAGACGTCTGGGGACCCCGTGTGGGGGGAAACTCAAGAGCTGCACGCCTGGGAACCGATCCAGCACATGGACAATATATTCGAAGCCCTCCTCCTCCTCCTCCTGCTCCTCCTCCTCCTCCTCGCCTCTCGGCGCAGCGCGCCCGATGCAAGCTCGGAGGAATACTGACCCGCCTCGCCCCCCCAGACCAATGCTGAACTCGGTATGGGTGGTGATTTGGAGGCTCGAACAGTTATGTCCACTCAAGCCCCCTTGCTTGCCACACCCTCCAATGTTAAGTTGGGTGTCCCGGAGGGCATCATGCGCAGCAAGGTTCGGATAGTTTGTCCATGTGCGGTCCCCATCCCCACTGGGGTGGCCTTGGCCCCGCCGGTCGCCTTACCCACCTAGGTCGGGATGTCTGCTCTGAGCCACGGTGCGAGGAGGTCTGGGGGTCGTCCTCCCGTAATACAAGACGGAACCAGGACCGGGACACAACATCGGGCCGGGACACATCGGAGCTTCGAGGATCCAGAGGCTCAGAAGCGCACCAGGCGCCGCAGCCGTGCCGGGGCGGAACTCGCCGAGAGCGCCCATAGGAGCGCTCTGGAGCGGATGCATCCCAGTCCTGCATGGGCCCACCCGACCTGATCTCCGCTCTCAAGGGTTGTGGATGCCACGACAATGAACGCCCTAACAGTCCCATCATTGAAATTTAAGTGTGTTTAACATGTAGGAAGCATGTTATAAACATGTTTTAGACATGTTTAGAACATGTTTTAGACATCTGGACATCATTTGGCAACATGCTTCCTCTCCGTTGATCGTCCTCCACAACACAAGGGAGTGGCGGCGCGCACGAGGGAGCTGGGTCAGGCGGAAGGCTTCCTAGAAGGAGACTGCTTCTTAGAAGGCGACGGCCCCACAAGTCGTTCATTTCTAATCGTGCTCATTTCGAACTGTGCTCGTTCCTAATTGTTCCTGGCCCCCTAGTGGCCAGGAAGAGGCCCAGGAGAGAACAATTGGAAGAGAAAGAGAGAAAGGACCTTGGACCCCCCAACAAAAATCAGAGAACCGTCGAAGAATTCGAAATGAACACCGTGCACATATCTGTAGAGAAGGCCCGCGCCTTGTAAGAGGCGGGGGTGCCTCTAGGAAGCCTTCCCCCTTTCCCACCACCGCCCTCTGCGCCTGGCCGAACAACAGCAAGGTTGAATGGGGCCCTGGGACACACACAAATGAATAGACACATATCACAGGATCCTCCATATTTTCGCATATTTCCTTGGTGTTTGTCTCCCCCCCCACTTCCCATACTTTCCCCTACTTTCCTGGGAGTGGACGATTCATTGTGTCTGTGTGTGTTTTCCCCTTCTGAAAGAACAAGGTGGGCCCCAGGACCCGTGCGGGGGCGCGCCCCAGCCAGCCTTGCGAGGCGGATCCCGCCGGGGAGACGAGGACCCCAGCAAGAGACCCGAAGAGGGCGAAAGCCACCCCAAAGACTTCGAGCATCGATCCTCGAATCCCGACCCTCGACCCACAGCTCTCCCCTGCGAGTCTCCCCTGGGGAGCCTCCCGGAGACCCAGAAGGGGCGAAAGACGTCCAACGGCATCGAGCCTCGATGCTCCGACCCCGATCCTCGGGCGTCGGTCCGAAACGCACCAGCCTCGAACGAAAAAACTTAAGACGAAGCCAAGACGAGGATAACATCGGGTGAGGATAACTCGAGAATCTCTGAGATGCGGCGGATCTGGAGGATGTCTCTGGCCCCGCGGCCTTCTCAGAGCGTTCCGGATTGCCCCGGGAGCGCGCCGGAGCGCTCTGATAATGACGGACTTGATGATCCTTGTCCTATAGCCCCGCCCGGCAACACCCAGACCCAGACCCCCGACGTCATGATTTTTTCATTACGTCGACCCCCAGAGGTCCCGACCCTTTGAACATGACCGGCTTTGCATCCTGAGTCGTTTTTTGACGCTCCCGAGGCCCGGTGAGGGCCCCCGGAGGCCGAAAATAGCGAAAAAAATCCCGTCGTGATTTTTTCACGACGCGAGGGGGTCTGGGGACCGAGACCCCGAGATCCGACGTCACCACAAGAGCGGGAGCACCGGCGCGCATCACGGCCAGGAGGCCCGGGCCCCACCCGTCCGCGCCACCCTGCGCGCCGGGCCGCTCTGTGCCGGCCCCGAGGCCCGAAGGCGGGCGGGTGCACGCCTGGCGCGGCACGGCTGCGACGCCCAGAACTACTCCGGGGGACGGAGGATTAGCCCAGAGATCCGAGGTCATTGAAGGGGCCCCAGGACACACAAATAAATACACACAAATAAAATAATCCCCCATATTTTCCCACATTTTCTGGGTTTCTGTCTTCCCCCCCACTTCCCATACTTTCCCATCTTTTCTGGGAATCGCCGATTCATTGTGTCTGTGTGTTTCTTCCCCTCCTGAGTCATGAGTTTTGTTCCAACACGGGGCCCCCGAAGTCTCGACCCCTCCCCCGGGACTGGTCTTTCGTCCTGAGCCGTTTTGCGCCGGTCTGCAGGGCCCGGCGGGGGCCGCTGCTAGGTCGAAAATCGAGAAAAACGCCTCCGTCTCTTCGATTTTTCCATGCGTGGGAGGTCTGGGCACCTATGGCGCAGGAGAGAGGCTCCCGGGTGCGGCTGGGCCCCGCGCGGAGCACGCCCGTGCCGTAGCCCTGCGCGCGGACGGCGCCCGCGCCCGCGGCCCCGTGCGCGGTGGCCACCGCGGCGCCGTCGGCGGCCATGGCGGCGCCGTGGCGCGGCCGGCGCGCGCGCCGGGCGCGCTTGCCAGCGCGCCGCGCCGCCGGCGGTGGGGGGAACCTGGCGGCCCGCGGCCCCGCTGGGCGGCCGGGCTCGAGCTCGGCCCCGAGGTTCTGGCGCTGCAGGCATTGTCACGGGCTTATAGTTGGCTGCCCCGATGCGCAGCACGCGGCACGCAGCGTACCGACACGGAGCCCCACGCGCAGAGCGAAGGCGCAGGCTTTGAACATGGCACGTTCTACGTTTCAAGACGTGCGCATCGGGGCAGCGAAGATCACGAGACGTACGCTCTCGCCCGGTTGCGGGGCCGGGGGCCCTCACCGAGGGGTCCGGCGCTCGGGGATGGACAGAACCTCCTCTAGTTAAAAAACAGTTTCATGAAAAAGCGACCTCGGGCCCAAGCCTAGCGGGCGCAGGCCTGGAAGATGACGGCCGCGGCGCCCTCTCGAGAACCGAACACGGACAATTCACTAAGCGACGTGTCAAGGTAGGGGTTTTGTCCACCTCCGAGGCTCGAAAAAAGGGAGGCAGACAGATGGGGTCCCGGGGTTCGAGGGTCGGGATTCGAGTGTCGATGCTCGAAGTCTTTCGGGTGTCTTTCGCCCTTTCTGGGTCTCATGCTGGGGTCCTCGTCACCCTGGCTGGATCCGTCTCGGGGTTCAGGCAAGGTCGCACCCCAGCACATGTCTGGGGGGCCTGATTTCCGGGAGGGGTTACAGATCCCTCGCGTTGTGAAAAAAGTCTCCAGGGAGTTGTTTGGGCAATCTTCGGCTTCTACGGGGCCTTTCTGGGTGCAGGGTGCCAAGGTGCGGCGGGCCCGGCTGCACTCTCGAGCTGGGTCAGGCCAAACCGTGGCCCCCTCGCGTAAATCGCTGCGCCGCGCGCACCTCGCCCTCGTCGAGCTGCCACGAAGCACAGAGGCACTGCGGCACGCTTGGGCGCGTGAGCCATGGGCCAACCGCTCGCTACAAGTCGAGGAGGACTTGCGGGACGTCGCCAGCTTTGTCGCGGATGCTGGGCAAACCGGGTGCCATGCCGCCCGGCCAGGCCTTGCTGGTCACGCCTGTAAGGCCTTGGACATGGGCCGGAAAAGGTGGTCCGTGGCGACGGAGAACGAAAAGGTGAGAAGGGGCATGCTTACAAGATGCCCCTCGTAAAAGAGAAACCCTCCAAACACTCCCCACCCACAAATGTCTATTAGTAGCTCCGGCTGCACAGGTTGCGAGGGCAAGCCAGCAGGGCAAAGCCAGCGACGCCTGCAATGACAAACTGGGGCTCCGCCGACGGGAACGCGGCAGCAGGGTCAGAGCAGAAGGCCAAGCCTGTGTCCAAGCTCATGCCAGACAGCGCAACTGCCCCATCAACGTCGACGATGCCCGAAGGAACCTGCACGGTTTCCCCCGGGGCCGTAGGCGACCTCAGGAGGAGGAGGAGGAGGAGGAGGAGGAGGAGGAGGAGGAGGAGGAGAAGGAGGGAGGAGGAGGAGGAGGAGGAGGGAAAGAGGAGGTGGAGGAGGGGAGGGGAGGGGGAGGAGATGGAGGAGGAGAGGAAGAGGGAGGAGGAGGAGGAGGAGGAGGAGGAGGAGAGGAGGAGGAGGAGGAGGAGGAGGAGGAGGAGGAGGAGGAGGAAGGAAGAGGAGGAGTAGGAGGAGGAGGAGAACGGGTCGCCCCTTCGGAGAAACCCTCCAAAGGAACCCCTTTTTGTGCCTGCGTGATCGAGGGCGCGTTCTTGCACTCCAAAGCGATCCGACACGCGCTGCAGATATGTTGGTCGGACAGAGGGGCCAGACGCTGTGCCCCTCGCAGGCCAGCGCGCCATCGGAAGCAGGAAGGTGGGCCATCGGAGAGCACCAAGCATGAGCGAAAGCCAGATGTGTTCAGAGAACCGGGCCCTGTGCAGAGCAATTTGGGAGCCTTTGGGGGCGGGCACCTCCAGGCCATCCTGGGGACACATGTCAAATCAGCAGCAAACATACCCCTTCGGAGCGGACCTGAGTGAGGAGGGCCAGAACATTAGGGATAGGGTGTCTTTTTCTGCAGATGTCTGAAGCCAACCCACCCGTAATGGTCATCCCCAATGCAAGCACGGGGACCTAAGTCAGGCTACGTCTTCAATGTGCTGTCAAGGTCAGGGGTTCAAGGTTAGGGGATCTCATGGTCTGGATGACGTTTGGGCCAAACAGGGGCGTCTTGGCCGTCTATGGGTCGTCTGGGGGGCTGTCGGGCCGGCGCGGGCTCCTCTGCGAGGCCCTTTACAGCGATGTGGGGCGCTTCAGGCCTCCCTGGCTCAACCTCGGACTTGAAGTCGTGAGGCTGGGGGGAATACGCTCGGCCCGAGGTATTCGATCGAGGTCGGTTCGGGGAGGGTACCCTAACATCAATACTTCGCGCGTGTTCGATGCTGCCGTGCACCCTGGGGGAGGGCACGCTCAAATGCGCATGAGTTTGGCCGGCGGAGGGCCTCATGCTCTTGGGGGATGTCATTCTGTCCTAGGTCCGACCGCACCTCCGACCAGCCGGGGCTTGCTGTCAGCTTACTGAGCGCGCGGGGCGGGAGCCACGGCGGGCTCCCGCGGGGAGAGGAGCACGCGGGGCTGCCACGCACGGATGATTCGCGGGATGGCCTCGGAGACGCTCTTGGGGCAGTTGGTGGGGGGGCCTTCCCATGGCTGTCTTGGGCCTGCCTCTCCCCGGTCTTGGATGGGGCCTCGAGGCCGTCGGCGTACTGGGCTGCTTCGGAGCTCGAGCTGTCTTTGGCTGGGAGCTTCTGGGCCAGTCTTTGGGACATATCGGATTTCCTGGGCCCACTGGGAGGCCTCCCGCGGGCCTGTCGGCAACTCTCGGGGGCACATCTCGAGGAAATGCTGTGGCTTCCTTGGGGCCATCCCAGGGCCAACTGGCCCTCTCAGGCTCTCTTGCGTGTTGTTTATCAGGGTGTGCGTGGCCTAGACAGCGCGAGTCCATGCTTGTCTTGCAACGGAGGGAGCCCCTGCAGCATGCGCGTCGCACCTCTCCACCCCCTAGCTACAGACCCCAAGCACACAACTAAGAGACTCAGATGTAGCAATGTAACGTACATGTTGACGGCCGTTTATCATGGTTGAGGCCCGAAAGAAGCAAGAGCTTCTCGCAGTCCGCTGGGCCATCACATACCACACCGTTGCCATGTGCGTGGGTGCTCTTGGTTGTTGGGAACTTGTTGGGTGGCAGTAGTTTCCTGGACAACGTTGTGGAGCTCGCGTGGGGGAGAAACAGTCGATGGGTGGATTGAGGGCAACACTCGATGGAAGACACCCCCACCCAAGTTTCATCACCGAAACCACGAAACCACGAGAAACAAGTTCTTAGCCGTGTAGCGCATGGCGGAACGCCAAGCTTCCAAAGAGCAAGCTTCAAGATTGAGCCTTAAGATTGAACTTCACGCTTCAAATCTGGTATGGTTGGCCTGGTTGGACTGGTTTGAGCTCCCTGAACCCAAAGCTTAGGATTCGGGCTAGAGTGGTCGAGGGGAGGTCCAGGGGGGCAGCGCCAGCCACTACGATTACTGAACAACAGTTGTTGTTGCATTGCAGTTTGTTTGCTTTACAGCTGTTGTTTGCATTGCAGTGTGTTTTGCATCGGGTCTGGTTGGTCTGGTTTGAGCTCAGTCCTGAATCCTTAGCTTCGGATCCGGGCGAGTGATTTAGGGGGGGTCCAGGGGGGCAGCGCCAGCCACTACGATTACTGAACAACAGTTGTTGTTGCATTTCAGTTTGTTTGCTTTACAGCTGTTGTTTGCATTGCAGTGTGTTTTGCATCGGGTCTGGTTGGTCTGGTTTGAGCTCAGTCCTGAATCCTTAGCTTCGGATTCGGGCGAGAGTGGTTTAGGGGGGGTCCAGGGGGGCAGCGCCAATCACTACGATTACTGAACAACAGTTGTTGTTGCAGTGCAGCTCGTTTGCTTTACAGCTGTTGTTTGTATTGCAGTTTGTCTTGCATCTGGTCTGGCTTGTCTGGTTGGTCTGGTTTGAGCACAGTCCTGAATCCTTAGCCTCGGATTCGGGCGAGGGTGGTTTAGGGGAGGTCCAGGGAGGCAGCGCCAATCACTACGACCACTTAACAAGAGCTTCTTTGGGCATTGCATTGTTTTGTAGCTTTGCATCTGTTTTTGCATTGCAGTGTTGTTTTGCATCTGATCTAGCTGGTCTGGTTTCTCTGGCTTGAGCTTATTGCTGAAGCTTTAGCTTAGGATTCCTGCGAGAGGGGTCTGGGAGAGGTCCAGGGAGACGGCGCCAACGACTATAACTGACATGCAATTTGTTTTGCATTGCATGCGTTTGCGTTGCAATGATTTTTGCCTTGCAATGTTTCTCCGCATCTGGTCTGGCTGATCTGGTTGATCCGGTTTGAACTTATTTATGAAGCTTTAGCTTACGATTTGCAATTTGATTGTTCTGCACTTTTTTGCTTTGCAATTTGTGTTGCATCTGGTCCGGCTGGTCTGGTTGGTCTTGAAAGTCTGGCCAGTGCCTGGCTGCTCTGGTCTGGATTGAATCGGAAACCGATGGAACATAAGCCGAATGGACAACGACGTTGCGAAGGGGAGAGAGGACAAAGAACAGAAGGCAGCCAGAAGGCAGATCACGGATGAGCACGACGAGTATAATCACGAGTGCGACAAGAAAAACGATGACAACCAAGACGACGAAAACTACGAAAACGAGGACTTGTACGACGACTACCGCGTGTTGAACGCCCCCCTCCCTAGGAAAAATGCTTTTCCAGTGGTCTGGCCGGTCTGGCTGTCTGCATTGCATCATTCTTTGGAAGGGAGGGAGGTGAGGAGGGAAAGCAAACGCTTTAGACCACCTGTGTCCAAAATGTTGGTAGACACGACAACAGCGACCGCAGCAATTTTTCATTCTAGCACGGCCCACGTGGGCTCTGTGCTATCTGCATGGCTGCCCGCACGGGCCCGTGCCAAAATCCTGACTGCAAGCACCCTTTCGTGAGCGCAAAACGCTACTTTGGCAACCCGAACGCGAGTGAGCGATGGGCTATCACACAGGGTCACTGGCCACGTGTTGCGTCCCGATCGCTGCCAGGCGTTCACGGCAAAGCAAATCATGTCAGTGTACATGGGCATCAAGACTTTGTCAGACAGCTCAGAATCAAAAGCAACTGTGGATGTATATTCTTGCGTCGTCCCTGACCCCGGACTGCGTATCTGGAGGGCTGCGCCTTTTATCGCCGGCCTGGCCGGACTAACTGGTCTGGTCTAGCCAGTCTGCTTGGTCCGGGCAGGTTGGTCTGCTGAGTCTGGTCTGGGTATCGCTGGTCTGAACGGCTAGCTGGTCTGCTTAATCTGCTTGGTCTGGGAAAGCTGGTCTGCTTAATCTTGTCTGTACTTCGCCGGTCCGGACGGCTGGCTGGTCTCGTTGGTCTGGAGAATCTACCTGGCTGGTCTGCTTGGTCTATCTGGACGGTCTGGCCAGTCTGATGGGTCGTCGCCGTTGTCTTCGTCCTCGCCCTAGACTTCCTCGTCGTCGTCGTCGTCGTCGTCGTCGTCGTCATCGGCCTGCCCCTTGCGTCGTCGCAGCCAGGGCTGGGACCGAAAGCGCTGCTGCGTCAAGTCCGGTTGCAGCGGAAATGGAGGTGGGGAGGGAGGGAGCATCATATCAGTTCTTATGCCCCAAAGATGCGTAAGGCGCTGCGGCATAATAGCGTTTCGCCTCAATCGGCTTAGAAACAGTGACCATGGAAATCATACAGGCATGTATGCTCTGCCATGTTGAACCCCTTCGTACGCTGTCAGAGCATCCTGGGGGACTTCTGGGCATCTCTGAGCGGTTCCTGGCAGCCTCCAGCGGGACTGTCAAGGGGCTTCTGGGAGGCGGTGTTGGAGGACATTGGACCACCTTGGGACTATCGTGGGGCCTCTTCAGGCTGTTTGAGAAAATCACCCTGGGGCCTGTCACCCATTAATCCCTTCTCTTGGATCGTTCTCTGGCCCTCTTGGGGCGCTCCTGAGAAGCTCTGCTTCGGGCTGGTGGAAGCCGTTTTGGACCTTGGCGCCATCTTGGGCGATCTTGGAGCCAATGAAGGGCATTGATCAGGGAGCCCATCGGAAGCCATCCAAAAGGTTTAATCAATTGGGCCTCTTTGAGGCCTCTTCGATGCTGCCTGGGACCATTTTGGGCCACCTTGGAGCTCTCTTGGGGCTGCGTTCGGAGGCCATCCATTCAATCGTCCCCCCCTGCTCTGCCGCTCTTGGGCCCATTCAAAAACATTTGGAGCTCTCGTGGCCGGAACGCTCTGGACGATACGCCCCAGGTGCAGCGTCACCACACTGCAAGCGCCGAACGAAACGCCACCGCGCGAAATGCCGCGGGACGAAACGGCCACCCGGAGAGACGGGCCCAGCCCGTCACCGCACCGCAGCGTGTGTTTGTCCAACGGCGTTGACGCACGCGGCACGAGACAAACGCAGCGTCGGACGAAGCGCGCCGAATGCAATCCCACTCGGAGAAACACTCACCGGGCGAAGCGCGGAGACTGGGCGAAACGCGCACTGGACCGAACGCCCCGGTGGCGAAACGCGCCCAAGACAAAAACAAACAGACGAAATCGACGCTTTCCCCCCCTGATCCTCCTGGACCTCCGCTTCCTCCTCCTCCTCCTCCTCGTCCTCCTCCTCCTCCGCCAACCTCCGTGGGATCGGCCGGACTGGGGTGCCACAACTCTTGTGGCCTCCCCTCTCCTTCTTCTCCCCGTCCTCTCCCTCCCTCCCTCCTCCCTCCCCTCCCTCCCTCTCCCATCCTCGTCCTCCCCTCCCCTCCCTCTCCCTCCCTCCCTCTCCCGTCCTCGTCCTCCCCTCCCTCTCCCTCCCTCCCTCCTCCTCACGCCTCGGGCCTCGAGGAGGAGCCCCGCCTCCCACCTCCCCGCGCACCCGCCGCCCCTCCCTCTGCGGAATGCGCCCCCGTGGGTCTGGCCAAGTAGCCCTCCTCGGACTGCGGCGCCCTCGCCCTCGGCCGCCTCCCCCTTCCCTGCTCGGGCACACGCCATCATTGAAGGGGAACTGGAACACACAAATAAATACACACAAATAAAGATATCCCCCATATTTTCCCATATTTTCTGGGTTTTTGTCTTCCCCACCACTTCCCATATTTTTACATATTTTCCTGGGAGTCGACGATTCATTGTGTCTGTGTGTTTCTTTCCCTCCTGAATCATGGGCTCCAGATCCATGGATCTGGCGCGTGAGCACCGAGTCCATGGCATCGGGGACAACGTGCCCGAAGCATGACGCCAGTGCCGCCTGACCTGGCGACGAGCGACAGGGATGGAAGCAGGCCCCGTCGCTGGCCCGTGCGCCTTGATCCATGTCTGCGCTTCCTCAATCCTTGAGGCCTCTTGCAATTATTTGCAATCCGATGTACGTCACATCTACGTCGGCAGATATACGTCGGATGTACGTCGGCTCCACATCGGAATTATGTCGGAACGTCTCCGCGCGAACGTCGCCCCAGATCTGACGGCGCCGATATGAGGACCAGGCAGAAACAGCTCTTGCGCGCCGCGCGAGGTCTGCAGGGTATCCCCCGTAATCCACATACTCTTGTGGATGCCACGACAATGGACACCCTAACAGTCCTATCATTGAATTTAACATGTGTTGAAAAATGTCGGAACAATGTTCGATACATGATTTGAACCTGTTTGTTTCACATGTTTAACACATGTTTTAGACATCTGGGAGTCATTTGGCAACAGGCTTCCTCTCCACTGACCATCCTCCACAAACATACTCCCTCCGTCCCTCCTCCACCCCTCCTGGGCGCCGTTTCTGGACGACGAGAGCCGCGCGCCGTCGGCGCCCGCGTGCCCGAGCGCGCCCGCGAGGCCTGCGGGTCGGAGGAGGGGCGGGGGGAGGACGTGGAGGGAAGAGGTTCTAGAGCATGCCAAACATGGGGAAGAGGAGGAGGAGGAGGAGGAGGAGGAACGAACGAAAGAGGGGGTGGAGAGGGAGGAGGAACGAACGAACGAACCACCTCTGCGGACAACTTTCCGGGCGGGGCCTGGCCTGGCTATGACACCAGGTGGGGGACACCACGGCCTCCTGGTGAGGAAAAGCAGCACAAGCATGCATCGGAACTGAGAGGCAATTGGGAAGTTACGAAGGAGGGGAGGAGGAGGAGGAGGAGGAGGAGGAGGAGGAGGAGGAGGAGGAGGAGGAGGAGGAGGAGGGAGTTGTGGCTGTGGATGTCGACGAGGCGCTGTCATTTTGGGTTCATGTCTTGGCGCCCGAGCGTCAACCAAGTTAGGGCGGCTTGAGCTGATCGAACCTGGGTGAAGTCGTTCGACTGACCTCTTGCAGTGCCGAGTGTGGGCGCTGGATCGGGTCTTTGTTGCTGGAAGCACGTGGTAAAGTGGTCGTCCCAGAGATTGCGTTGGCCGCCGCGCTGTCGATGGCTGCGCTGGTGTGGGTTCTCTTCCGGTTGCCAACTTAGTGTTCGCAACGTCCACCTTTTGCGCCCGCGGTTGGCGACCATTGAAGCCAGGCGTCCTGAGTTCTGTTTGTGCGTCGTCGCCCAGCTGTCGAACAACCAAATCCTCATAGGATGATTTGCGCGCCATGAAACAACCTGAATGTACGTGACCCGAGGCTCCACATCTATATCCACATTCACGATGTCGTCATCGCGCTCGTCGCGACGGTCTGGATGTGCAGATGTGCCACGGGGCGCGGGCGCAGAGGTCGTTGTTCAATGGTCCTTCGCGCTTGCCGCCGGCAACCTTGCTTACTCTTGCGGCTGTCATAGGGACCTGTTTGGCGGATGGTGCGTCGTCGGAACGGGGCGTTCCGATGATTATGCAAGGGGTGCGTCGCTGAACCCGCCGCAAAGGTTGCTCGAGAAGTTCCGTGAACGTCTGTGCCCCTGCTTCGCATAATGATGCCAAGGTTGCTGACGTGTCGTTGACTACCTACCAGACCACCCCAACCCAACCCGAAGACCCGAATTTGACCCGAATTTCGGGTTGGGGGGGGTACGGGTTCCATGTGTCTTTTCAACGTTCCCTGACCCCCCCCCAACCGGAAATGGAGGGCAAATTGAAGCCTTCGGGTTGGGTTGGGGTGGTTTGGTGGGTGGTGAGTTGTGGTGGGTTAGGGGGCGGTGCTGCGGTGGGCAGAAGTTGTTGGCAAACTCCCGCCAGCGTGATGCGAGCGGTGCCCATGCAGCTCTCGGGTAGTGGTGCATGTGTGCTTATGTTTGATACAAAATGTGACGATGTGCATGTTGGCCAGATTGGGCCCCAAACGATGCGTTTTTAACCACATACGTAGTGCAAACGATGTGGGGCAATCTGCGTGATGCAAGTGGTTTTTGCACATGAGCTGACACATCCTACTCTCTTGCAAACATCCCACCCACCCACCCGCAACTTGGTTTTCAAAACCCATGCGGTGGCGATTGCGAGGAATGCTTGGCGTTGGCTGGTGCATCTCTGCGGCCGCTTCAACCCTAGCACGCGCGCGCAGCGGCCAGCTAGTTTGGCGCCACCGACGCGGCCGCGATGGCGCTGACCGCTGGGCGCATCCCAATGGGTACTCCACTGCAAGTCGGCGATTTGGGCGGGCGCGGTATCATTGCAACGCCGACTACGGTAGACGCGATGATGGTAATGGCGATGATGGTGGCGATGTTCGTACCGACGAAGGCGCAGTATGCTGATCACGCCGACAACGATGACGGCGCCCTCTCGTCGGTGATGAAGGTTTCGGGAAGAGTTCGACATGCGCGAGCGGCCGACGCGCGAGAGTGGCCCGCATGCTTCGTTTGACACGGATCGTGCACCCCCAGCACGCGCGCAAAGGAGTGCGAATGATGTCGGCATGCGGTGCCAGAGGCACGCTTGGCAGAATTCCATGAAGATGTTGAGAAACACGTGGTATTCTTAAGAATCTGCAAGAGCGCGCGCGCAAGTTGTTTACAAAACTGTCGTTGCGAAACCTTTTGTTTTTGAGTGTGGTTAGGGCATTCGGTTTTCAAATCGCTACGGCACCGAAGATTTGTTTTATGGATTTCGGCATGCGCCCGCGACGGCGCGCGCGCGTGCACTTCGTCACATCTGTTGCAAAGGATTCTCGCGACGGCACGCGCAAATGCGTTCGAAAGATTTCGACATGCGCACGCGAAACCCGTTTGGTAGTATTTTATGAACGTGGTGGAAAACCATGTTTTCTTGAGAATAAGCCAGACCGCGCACGTTTTTTTGCTGAATATCCGCGTTGTGGAACCATGTGTTTTTCATACGATTTCGGGACACTCAATTTTGACATCCCTATGAAACCAACAGGTTTTTGGAGGATTCCGGCGTGCGCGCGCGACGACGAGCGCGTGCGCACTTCACCCCATTGGTTGTAAGGGCTTCTTGAAACTGATGAGTCTTGATTAACGAATGCGCGCGCATAATGTTTTTGTTGCAGCGGGTGGGGAGGGGGGCGATACCAGCTGGGTTAGGATGGTCCGACTTCATACTTGGGATTGGCGATGGGGCGAGATCATACGTAAATTGCAATACGAAAAGGTTGATCGATAAAGCCGGTGGCGGTGGTGGTGTATCCGAATTATTTTTTGGAAGGAGAATCTACTTGGTGCAGTCTAGGTTGTGCAATCTTTGTTAGGCAATATGTGCTGTGCAATCGACGTTGTGCACCCTGCGTGGTGCAATATATGGGCAAGCCGTGTGGAGTAAACAGTGTGGTGCAATCTGTGTGGTGCAGTCTCTGTTGTGCAATCTATGTTGTGCAACCACTGTGGTGCACTCTACATAATGCAGCCGATGGAATCAAAAGAATGCAGAATTTGGGGGCGTCAACTAAATTTGGCGGCGAGCGAGGGGGGGAAGTGAGAAGGGCGGGGCTTCTCGGAAGGCTCGGAAGTTCCCCAGCCTTCTGAGAAGTTTTCTAAGCTTTCCCCGAAGACACAACAAACTTCTCAGAAGGCGCGAGGGCTTCTGAGAAGTCCCGCCGCCTTCTGAGAAGACCTTCTCCTTCTCACTTCCCCCCCTCGCTCGCCGCCGATAAATTGCTCGCGCAACCACCCGCAGCTCGATTTGTGCAACCCAGGCCGCGGCGATCGCGATGACTGCCTGCCTCGGCGGCCGCGCTGGCGCGAGCCAGCTCGCGCGCCTGGCACCCCACTCGTTTGGCGCAGCCGACGCGGCCGCGGTGGCGCTGACCGATGGGGACTTGCCAGCGTGTGCCACAGGCCGCGCTGGCGCTTCAGTGCGCGTCGGTGACTCGGGCTGGCGCGGTACAGTCGGCGCCTTGACCTAAGGAACCCAAAATAAGGAACGAGGCCCCTATCTTCCATAAGTGTAACTTCGATTTCCGGTCGAAAACATAAGGAACACCTGAGGCAAGCTGTGAAACACTTAAGGAACGCGGAGCCCCTCCCCAACGAAAAGGGTTCCTTCTTCAGGGCCCCGGCTGTAATTATCATGGTGACGCCGACAACGGCGGGACAACGACAGACACGAGAATGACAGCGGCGACGATGGTGACGATGGGGGCGGGAACGACGGCAAGGCCAATGACGGCGCCGATGCTGGTCACGCCGGCGGCGATGATGATACCCATGTGTCGCCGATGAGGTGCCCAGGATGATACCCGATGATGATCGCCGATGCTGGCCACGCCTGATACGATGATGAGACCCAGGAGCGACTTCGACATGCGCGCGCGGCCGACGCGCGCCAGCAGTCCATGATATTATTAGACGAGGGTGGTCCCCCCTCATCAAGCGCGCAAGGGCGTTCGAATGATTCCGGCATGTGCGCGCGAGAGGCCCGTGGTCTCATTCGATGGAGATGTTAAAGGCTGGTGGTTTTCATCTGAAATGCGTGCGAATAGCTGGGGGAACACATACTTGTAACGCAACTGCGTTGTTTGCGTGTTCGAGAACCGCGAGCTCGAATCCTTACAACGAAACAGGTGCTGGATACGTGTCCGACATGCGCGATCGACGGCGCGCGCATGTGAATTCGTTCATGTGTTGGGAAAATAAACAACATGGCATGGGTAGTGCTGGCATAAAGGAATGCGCCCGCGTAGAATTAGTTGGCGGGGATGAGCGATGCACATCGGCGCCGCCGGCGTGGAGAAGATCGGGCCCCACATCGAGCCGCGTCGCCGATGCATCGGCGCGATCCTCCGACCCCACCTAATCGGACCCCGTCCTGGGAGGTCTAAACTACTGCTCGCCACTGCTGGACCACCAGCCCTGCGACACTTCCGGCCGAGGCCGTCCGCCGTCCACACCCCCGCCGGCGGGCTCTCCAGCTCGGGAAGAGGAGGAGGAGGAAGAGGAGGAGGAGGAGGAAGAGGAGGAGGAGGAGGAGGAGCAGGCCACCGGGGAGCGCACCACCGGGCCTGGGTGCACCGCGGCGGGGGGGGGCAGCCGTGCCAGGGCCGGGGGGGGATGTATCCGTAGGCACCCCTCGGGGAACGATCTTCGGGGGTCTCGGCAGGCAATGGCCATGGATGTGTGTATGTACATACCTACCTACCTACCTACCTACCTACCTACCTACCTACATACATACATACATACATACACACACATACATACATACATACATACATACATACATACATACATACATACATACATACATACATACATACATACATACATACATACATACATACATACATACACACACACATACATACATACATACATACATACATACATACATACATACATACATACATACATACATACATACATACATACATACATATATACATATATACATACATACATATCCGCCGATCAGGCGTGTGAGTTGTAAAGACCCTCAGAATTGCCTGAGCCTCAACTCCTGAGTTTCAGCTCTACTAGGGGGTGGGTGCCGGGGTGGCTCTGTCGGGGTCGGGGGAGAGGGGGGGGGGCGGTCGATGTAATTCCCGGGGCGGAATCGGAGCTCCAGTTCACTCCGGGACGGCCCCTTCGCCCAGGAAAGCCCCAACATGGACCAAGAGGGTCCCGAGTCGCCGAACGATCGCTACAAGACGCCCAAGATGTCCCCAAGACGGCCCCAGAAGCCTCCAAGATGCCCTCAGAAGCCCTGAGAAGGCCTCCCAACGAAGACCCAAAGAAGCAACAAGTGTCCCATTCCCGATGGAAAGCGTATAATATTAACGCCTCTTGGGCCCTCAGAGCGTCGCAGACGCCCCAAGAGAGCCCCACATCGGCCCAAGAAGCCGACAAGAGGGCTCCAAGACGGCCCAAAACGGGCTCAAGATGGCCCAGGAGGCCCTTGGAAAAGGCCTAAGAGGGCCCCAGGACGGGCCCAAGAGGCGCCTGAGAGGGCGCCAAGACGGCGGATGAAGTGCCGAAAACGGCCCAAGAAGCCCCCAGCAGGCCCCCAGAAGCCCCGAAACGCTTCCAACTGGCCACGAGGAGGCCCCCTGAAGCCCCAAGGCCCCCAAGAGTTTCAAAAATGCACCCAAGACGCCATCTAAAGGCCTCCAAGCTGCCTCCAAGAATCCCCCCGAGAAGCCCAAAACCGGCCCCAACGCTTCCACGACGCTTACGTCTGAACACAAACGCTGCAACACAAAAGGTTCTTCCACGCTTTCATATCTGTCTTTCACACATGATCTCACAGGAGCCGCAGAGGACCGCGCGAAGGCCCCAGAGACCCCAAAAACACGATGGTTCCCAGCAGACAGCAGAGACCAGCGAGGCACAAGGCTCCACAAAGAACTGCGACGCAGACGGCTCTAAAACAAAGCTTTTCAAAGAATGCGCCATATCGGCGAGGTGTCAACCCAAAGAGGGCCAACATCTGGCCCCAAAGAGGCTTTTCAACAACCGCCGAACACCTCCAACGACCGCCGAAAATCTCCTCATCCTCGTCATGTTCCTCCTGCTCCCCCTCCCCCGTATCCACTTCCCCTCCTGCCCCTCCTCATCCTCAGAATCCTGCTGCTCCTGCCCCTCCCCCCTCGCCACCCTCCACCTCATCATGATCCTGCTCCTCCTCTTCCTCCTCCTCCTCCTCTTCCTCCTCCTCCTCATCATCCTATTCCGTCGCCTCCATTCCCAATCATCATCATCATCATCATCATCATCATCATCATCATCATCATCATCATCATCATCATCATCATCATCATCATCGTCATCGTCATCATCATCATCATCATCATCATCATCATCATCATCATCATCATCACCGCTCGCCGTCGTCGCCGGTCATGACCGCCATCGTGCGCTTCCGGCGGCAACAGAGACGCCCTGGATTGGCGGCACTGGTCGGAGGCCACTACAATATCTCTCTATATATACTATGTAATGGTATTCACATGTAGATGAATGGTGCATTTATGTGTAGACATATGCAGATGCATAGTTTTCACAAGCATATATTTGTATGTATATATGTGTATATATGTGTGTACGCATGTAAATCACTACATTTAGACTATCGAACGGTATGGCTGCACATGCATATCGATATTTATGGTTTCGAACATGGTGTACCCATACGTATATATATATGACTGCAAAAAGTGGACTGTATCTATGTATAAATAGATGTACACATGTTAAGCACATATAGATGTAATGATATTTGTGGTATAGAGTTGTACACATGCATTTACATACATTTTAAACATAGATATGCACATATACATATATTTAGTGGCCACTCCCAGGGCCCGAATGAGTCCATACACGCCGCATGCCGAGGTCCCCGAACGTCGACCCCCCAGACGGTGGTTATGGACGAATCCCCGCCTCGGGGGAACTTGGACGGCGGAGGTCACCACCCTTCCTGGGACAGCAGGCCAGCACGGAGGCAGTGACACGATGTGGAGATGCCTTGTGTTCGCTGGTTGCGCCGCGGGTTGGCGAAGAGAGCCGCACGCCTGCGTGGCAACATCGCGGCCGAAGTCCAAAACGCCACCATCGCGACATGAGCTGGTAGTCAGGCCATCCCTCCGCCTCGCGCCCAGGATCGTCTGCCCCGGCATCACAAGAGTGCCCATGGACTCTGACCTGGAGGAGAGAGTCCCGCAAAGCTCTCGACATGGCAGCCGAGGCAACCAACAAAAACCGAGAGCGACGAGTTGCTGAGACGCCATCATCGTGACCTCGGCGCAGCCAGGCCCGCCTGCGGCCTCACTCCGTCAGCGAGCGGCCGCGGAAGCGGGGCACAAAAGGAAACATGTTCATCATTTTGCTTCGGGGAGGCGCCGAGAAGGGAAGACGTGCAGCGGCTGGGTGTGCTTGGAACGCATGTGCCTACTAATGATAGGGTCGAACTGCTTCCAGGCCTTCCCTACGACGGCCACCGCCACCAACTGGAGGTCGCGGGACCCTGCTGTCTGGTCATGGACAAACGGGCCAGCTTACACGAGCGGTGCAAATGCAAATGAACGCATCTGTAGCGGACCAAGCAGGGGAGCGATCGATATCATACTCAGCGAGTCTCCCAATGGAAAAGACGTGATGACCTTCAGATCCACGAAGCCCCCGACCTCGATGCGTTCGACCTGATCGGTCCATACATCAAAACTGCTGAGATATGATGGGGCACTCAGATGGCATCGATGATCGTGGGATCAATCCCGTCGAACGTGGTACTTGCCTGGCTCCAGAACTGCGAAATGCTCGTGGCCGGAATGCTCACCGATAGTACCATTCCTTGGTCCACTCCCGAATGCTGCGCGCCTCCTCTCCGCAAGTCGCTGAGAACGGGTTCGATGATGCAGTCGATGCTGCTGCTCGAAGGAAGCGCACCTGTCTAGACACCCATATCGGGCCCAAATCAATCATGTCCCACCTTCTCCAAAAGACCGTTCCGATCAACATGGGGCGCAACCCGACGCCTCTCCGCGAGGCGCAGCTACTGGAGAGCACCCCGAGGCTGCAAGACCGCCAAGAACACGGCCTCGGCCAAGGGCGGACTGTACGAGCTTGATATCCCCGAGAATCTTCATCATATCCTCCCTGACCTCGTCTTTCGTCCTGTGGACTCTATCTCTGTGCTTAGACTCCAGGATGTACCGTTGCGTGCTCAAAAGCTGCTCTGCCTGGAGCATGGGCAGGAGACGGAATGGGGCCGAGAAGTTCGAGGCCTCTCCGCACCCCCCCCGACCCTTCCCATCGCCCGCCCCATCCCGAAACGGCAGTTCTCCCACAGCTCTCCTCCTCGATCCTCCTTCGCCTCCTCCCGGTGAGGCCGAAACCAGCTGCATGCAGCAAATTTCGTAACCCCCCCTTTCCCAATCCCCCCCTTTCGTCCGGCCCGAAACCTCCCGCCTGCCGCCCCTGCCCCGGAGCCCTCCCCCCTCCTCCGCCCCTTCGCGGGGGAGGCGCCGAAACCCGCGCGGAGGCGGCGACGGCACGGCCACCCCGCCCGACTTGGCCGAGGACTGCACACCCCGAACCCCGAACTCCTCCCGCTCCGCCGCCCCCCAACCCGCCTTCGGGCCCTCGCCCTCGCCCGTGCCGCTGCACGCGCCGGCGGAGCGCGACCCGCCTGGCGCCCGGAGGGGAGGACGCTGCAAAGGGGGGGGAAGTGGGCGGCTTCGGCACGCCGGTCCTGGCCTCCCGCCCGAGCGTTCGCCGTCGTCTGCTCGCGTCTTGCTCCCTCTCGTCCCTCGCCGCCGCCGCGCAGCAGAAACGTTTGGGAGCCGGCGGCGCACCGCCCCTCGAGGCAAGCAGCGCCGTGGAGCCGTCCCTCGTCTAAGCTGGCGGCAGTGACGGGTAGGCCGCTCACTTCGAGCCCCGGAGCGCGAGAGGAACTGAGGGGAAGTCGGGCGCTGGTCTCCAGGGGAGGTTGCCTGAGTGCCACCGAAGCCACCCGAGCACTGACCTGACCGAGTAGCCGTGGAAGCGCCGCCTCAGGGCCAAGGTGAGTCAGGTCAGTGATCGGGCCTCCCTGGCATCACCTGCAGGGACTCGAGCGACCCGAGCGCTGACCAGACCCACCGTTTTTGATCCCCGGGAAGGAGGCGGGAAGGGAGGGAAGGGGGGAATGGAAGAGCAATCGCTGCTGAGCGCTGCGACCCAACCCCCGCCGTCAAGGTCGGATGCCTCGCATCGGCATCGGTTCCGGTGGGCGTGCTGGTGGCTGGCCTCGTGTATTTGTATATGTTCACCTGCGTGTCAAACAACTGCACATGTGTGCGCACACATGCGTTACATCTGCGGAGTGGGTACAAGCAGTGAGCAGCTTCCTCGGCGCGGCCCGTCCAAGCAAGGCAAACTACACAACTTGCCTCCCATCCCGCCCCTCCAACTCAACCGCCACCATCATCCCGTCCCAGCCCGACCCCCTTCCGATGGCACAACCCGTCTCACTACCGATGTGCGGCATTTTTCGAGCCGGATCGATAAACCCGTGAGGGTCCTGGGGCCCGAAACAATGTACTCCCATAGGTTGAACATGACGCAGAAGCCGACCTTGCCAGGGCGCGTGAGGGGGGAGGGGCAGGAGCGGCATGAGAGGAGCTGGAGGGGAGGCCCCCCCCTACAGAAGTCTCGATCCCTTCCCTGTGGCGCGGCTTCTCATCCCGGGTCGCTTCCTTGCTTCTCATCCCGGGTCGCTTCCTTGCGGCCCTGGGGCTCGGCAGTGAATCTGAAGCCTGCCGTCGTGACCTTTCTCGGCGCGAGGGGGGGGCCCACCCAGGCTTAAGTCGGGCGTGTCCCCCCACAGGCGAATTTTGGACGAAAAGTAAACCATCCTCCCAGACTGCTCCAAAATGCTCCAAAATGAATGTGCCCCCTGCAGCGGGCCACGCCCGACTCAAGCCCAGGCCCAGAGATTGGCACGCTCGACCGTGGGGACGGCCACGGCCTGGGGGCCGTCTCCCCGCAGCAGCGTGCGCCCCGAGCTGGCCGCGGCCGCCGCCGGGGGCAGGCGACGGCCGGGCCCGCGGCGGCACCGAGACGGGTGGCCCTGGCCGAAGAGGATGAAGGGGCCCCAGGACACACAAATAAATACACACAAATAAAAAGATCCCCATTATTTTCACATTTTCTGAGTTCCTGTTTTCCCCCCCACTTCCAATAGTTTCCCATCTTTTCTGGGGAATCGAGGATTAGTTGTGTGTCTGTGTGTTTCTTCCTCTCCTGAGAGGAGCAGGGACCGTGGCTGGTCTTCGCCCCCCGCGCACTGCAGGCGAATGGGTTTCATCATTCGATGCTCAGTGATGTGCTTCCCTGCGCCGCAGCTCGCCTACAGCTCGACTGCAGCAGATAAAACAACCATTGCCTCTCAAACGAATGATGTAAATAATAGAACAAGTTTTGGGGGTCGAAGCTCTACCAACACCCCCTCGAGTTATGAAACAAGCACGGCGGGACATTGCTCTATATTTGCGGCCTCCGGGGGCCCTCACTGGCCCTCGGAGCCCGCAAAAAAACGACTCAGGATGAAACAAAATCAGTCCCCGGAAAGGGGTCGAGACCTCTGGGGGTCGACGTTGTGACAAAATCATGATGTGGGGGTTCTGGCCACGCTGGTCGGCAGAAGTGGGTGGAAACATGAAGTAGGAAGGCGTTGGAAGGAGATTGGGCTTCCGCCCGCCCCCTGAAGGGGAGGGACGAGGAAGAACCGCTCGAGGGGGAGGGAAGAGGGAGAACCGCTCGACTCTCGCTGCAGGAAGGCGCCTAAAACAGACCAGGACCCACAAACACACACGGACACATACTTTCAGCGACCGACGTGTACTCTTCGCCCTTGTGCCGATCGCACGGAACAGAAGGCTCAGCAGAAGCCTTCAGGGGGGACCGGCTCAGGCTGGGAAGCGGTGCCCTGGAACCGCCGAGGCTCAGGGGCTCAGGCTGGGAAGCGGTGCCCTGGAACCGCCGATACGTCGCCAGCACATCGGCGGCAGGCCCCCGACAGCAAAAAACCGCACGATCCTGAGCGGGGTGGAGGCACCGATCGGCGGTGCAGGGGCGACCGAACGTCGATGCGTTCCCCCCCCGAGCCCTCGCATCGCCCTTGGGGCCTTCGGGCCACGACTCGGCCCTCAGGCGCCCCCCCCCCCCCCCCCACCGAACCCTCTCGGCGAGGCGCGGCTGCTGGAAAGAGCACGCCGGGGCTGGAAGCACCGCCCGAGAACCGGAGACGACGCCCACGGACCCCGCACCTCGAAACCTCCGAGCCTCTTTCCCCTCCTAAAGCTGCCCCTCAGAAGGGGGGGGGGCGGGAAGGAAGAGGAGGAGGAGGAGGAGGAGGAGGAGGAGGAGGAGGAGGAGGGCAAGGAGGAGGAGGAGGAGGAGGAGGAGGAGGAGGGAGGAAGAGGAGGAGGAAGGAGGAGGAGGGCGGAGGAAGAGGAGGAGGAGGAGGACAAGGAGGAGGAGGAGGAGGAGGAGAAGGAGGAGGAGGAGGAGGAGGGCGGAGAAGGAGGAGGAGGAGGAGGGGGCAGGCAGGCGGGCCACCGCTGCGGACAGACGTCCGGGCCTACCTCGGGCCAGGCGGGCGGGGCCGTGGCCTCAAACACTAGGCTGAAGGGTCTTATGTTGCATCCTCGGGGGACCTTGTCTGTCCCGTCGCGGCCCTGTCCGCGTCGAATGCGTGTCGAATCCGCGTCGAATCCATGCCAAATCCGCGTCGAGTCCACATCGAGCCCGCGTCGCGCAGCCAAAAAGACACCAATGTTAGGGACAGGCGAGGTCCCCCGAAGATGCAACAGAAAGGGTCCGTGGCTCGTGACAACAGGAAACGCAGGATCAGTTCAGGCAGGTCACCCGTGAAAAAGTTCATGGTTCGTGACAACAGAAAACGCAGGATCGGTTCAGGCAGCGGACTCGGGAGGACTCGTAGATTCCAGCGGCGCTCCTTTGTCTAAAGGGTTCCTTCCTTTTGTTTTCCGTGAAATCCACAAGCGTTCCATTTTGTCATAAGGATTCCTTCTAACATTATATACACAAAAATGGTGCTGTGTTGCACACGGGTGCTGTGGTGCACACGAGCGCCGTGGTGCACACAAGCACTGCAATGCACGCAAGCATTGTGGTGTACACTGGTGCTGTGTTGCACACGGCTGATGTGGTGTACGCAGGCGCTGTGGTGTACACAAGAGCTGTTGTGCCCGCAGACACGGTGGCACAAACTGACGCCGTGTTGCACGCGGCCGCTGTGGTATACATAGGCGGCGTGGTGTACACAAGCGCCCTAGTGCACGGAGGCACTGTGGTGTACACAGGCGTTGTGATGCAGATCGCCACCTACATGCTGGTGCTACCCGTCTTCTGTCAATCCTAAGCATTGCCAGACGCCGCCGGCGCGAACCGTGACGTCATCGACCCCCCCCCCCCTATGATTGCCATCATCGGCCTGGAATCATAAACAAGCTCCAGCCGCGTCCGCGCGCACGACGACGATGAGTGACGAGCGACGAGCCACGAGCGACGACGATGAGCGACGACGACGACGACGATGACGACTGCGGACAAGACTCCGATACATATTCCTACACGGACACCTACGTGGATCCTAATGCGCACGGCGGCAGTGCCCAGGGCGCACTGGGGAGGGAGCGGGGGCCATGACGCCCGTCATGCCCCAAGCAATACAGAAACTGGTTCCTGGCAGCGGCGAGCCTCGGCACCGAACACGACCCCTGACCTGAAGCCAAGGAGCCGAGGAGGAGGAGAATGAGGGGGAGCAGGAGGAGGAGGAGGAGGAAGAGGAGGAGGAGAAGGAGGAGGAGGAGGAGGAGGGGGATGAGGTCGAGGATGAAAAACACGAGGAGGAGGAGGAGGAGGAGGAGGAGGAGGAGGAGGAGGAGGAGGAGGAGGAACAGGAGGAGAAGGGGGAGGAGAAGCAGGAGGAGGGGCCCGGGGGCCGGAGCCCCGGCGGAGCCCAGGGCCCCAGGGCTGCGCCGTAGTGTGCGAAGGGGGCGGCCCGGGACGCGCCCCGCCTCCGTGAAAGAGCCCGGGCCCGCGGGCGAAGGGGGGCCGAGCCCGGGCCAGCCGAGCCTCGTGCGGGGCCCGCCCCCCACGGGCAGCGGGCACCTGCCACGCAGGCAACCGCCGATCAGCGCACGCCTGCCCCATTTGCTGTCAAGGTCTGGCCCGCCTCCGCGAACGATGGACCGTGACCTAGTTGTGCTCTTCTTGTTTTGATGTCTTTCTCTCTCTCTCTCTCGCTCTTTCTCTTGCTCTCTCTCTCTCTCTCTCTTTCGCTCTCTCTCTCTCTCTCTCTCTCTCTCTCTCTCTTCGTTTGTGTTACGGTTGTTGATTTGTTGTTTTCTCTCTCTCTCTTTCTCTCTTTCTCTCTCTCTCTCTCTATCTATCTCTCTCTCTCTCCCTCTTTCTCTACACATGTGTATATCTATATCTATATATATATATATATATGCACACCCAAGAGCACCAGTACGGCGGCTCCCGTCGGAAGGTCGCCGCCCTCACCGCCGAGTCGCGCGCATGGGGCCCAAGTGTGGCCAACGCGCACTTGCGCGCGCGGCTGATTCTCCCTCGTGCGACGCCCAGGAATGCGCTGCACCCTCCCCGTCTTCCTGGTTGCGCACCCCGGGGACGTCCACGGCTGCCACCACGCGTGTTCGGTGGAGGCGGGGGACGACGACGAGGACCCCTGAGAACCTGTCAAGACGCCGCCAGAACTCCCCCCCCCCCGCCCTGTCCGGGACTCCCGCATAGCCCCAGAGAGACCTTGTAAAACTTGGTTGGCTTCCGCATTTACGGAACCGATCTTTATGCACCGATGCTTCGCTTCCGGTCCCGCACTGAGATTCGCACGAGAAAAAGGATTCCGGTGTATACAGCATCTTGGTGTGTACAAGTTTTGCTGCTTCCACGGAAAACGGGGAAACAAGCATACACAACGCCACCCCGACGCCGTCCCCAACAATCAGAAAAAACGATGGGATTAAAGAACCTCCCGCCACTGGTAATGCATATGCTCCAGATTCCGAGCGTCTCCTGGAGTTAAGTCGGGCGTGTTCCCCTGCAGGGGGATTTTGGGCGAAAAAAAACAAAAACACTCAATACATATTCCAAAATGGTCAAACATATGCAAAAAAACATCGTCCCCAGACAATTTTCTGACTACCCTGTAACGCCCCTCACTGGGGTAGAAACCAACTGGGTGCAGTTTGCTCCGTGGAGCGTCGTGTTGTCTCCTCCTCCACTCGTGTTCTTGCGCCAGACGTCCACCCCTGAGGCTCTCGGAAGTTTCCACAAGGCTCGCAGGTGCTCAGACAAATGCCCCGAACATCGAAGACTAAATTATTCGAGGTTTCGTCTTCGACTCCTTTCCCAGGGCCCCGACGTGGTGTCTGTTCATCGTGTCGGCGCCCTTGTTGTCGTGAAATTATCCTCGGAGGGCCTCTTTGTGGCGCTCCCGAGAGAGGGGAGGAGGGAGGAGGGAGGAGGGAGGGAGGAGGGAGGAGGGAGGAGGACGGATGGGGAGGAGGCGGATGCCGCGCACGGCGCTATCGGAGCCATCGAGGCTACGGATGAGGTAGGAGGAGGAGAAAGAGGAGGAGGAGGAAGAAGAGGAGGAGGAGGAGGAAGAAGAGGAGGAGGAGAAAGAGGAGAAGAAGGAGGAGGAAGAGGGGGAGGAATGATTAAAAGCAGGACGGATGAGGCGGATGACGACGACGAGCACGATGAAGAGAGGGAATGACGCCCGTCCTGGAGCCTCTTGGTGTCGCCTTGGCTCTCCTAGAGCGTACTGGGGGTCCTGTGGCCTGTTTGGGCTCTTCGGGGCCTCTTGGGGCCTCTTGGAGCCTCCTGGGCCCTCTGGAGCGCCCCGAGTGTAGTTCAAAGTGGGTCCTGCGGGGGGCTCTGGAGATCTCGTGGGCTCTCCCGGGGCCGCCATGGGCCCTCCTGGAGCCCCCGTGGGCCCTCTAAGATCTCTCTCGCGGGGGCGGAATGATGAAAACAATTTCCCGCATAGGGGCCTTTCCGTTGAGAAGGGGGGCGCGGTGCAGAGTGGGTCCTCCTGGGGCCCTCCGGGGATCTCCTAGGCACTCCCGAGGCCGCCATGGGCCCTCCTGGAGCCTCTGGGGGCCTCTAAGAAGCCTCTCGCGGGGGCCGGAAAATGACGACAGTTTCACGGATGGGAGCCTTTCCATTGAGAAGGGGAGCGCGATGAAAAGTAATAAAGTGACGACAGTGTCGCACTTGAGGCCCAAAATCGTCCTTGGGCACCTCGGGCGCGAATCCCGCTCCCCCATAGTACAGTGCGATTTCCCCTCCCCCCGCTGTCCCGCCGGACCCCGGGAGGGTGATTTTTGTAGTTTTCGCTTGTGCGAAACACTTTCCCCCCCTCTCGACGGTGACGGAGGGCAGGCGGCCGGGGGTGGGCGGGTTGGCGGGGTGGCGGGGTGGCTGGGGTTGCGGGGTGGCTGGTTGGGCTGGTTGAGCCGGTTGAGTTGTTTGGGTGGCTGGTTGGTTGGGCTGGCTGGTTGGGCTGGCTAGGGCAATTCGTTTCGATCTTTGAATATTCCCCCTGTGGAGGGACAGGCCCGACTTAAGCATTGTCTCCTGGAGCCCTCCTGCTCGCTCCACCGTGTCCCCTCCCGCCTCCCCTCGGCCGCCTGCCTCTCTAACTTCTCTACGCGGCGCACACGCACACACACACACACGAGCACGCGGTGGGCCGCAGCGTCTTGCCCTGTGCTTCCTGCTCGCTCGCCTCCTGTCCCTCGCCACTGCCGACTTCTCCCCAGAGCTGGAGGAGCCAGTGGCCCAGCACCAACCAGAAGCCCTGCCATCCAGCAACACCCGGAGCCGCTGGCCAGGGCCTGCAGGAGCAGCTGCGGCACCCGAGTACAGAGAAGCGACGGGGCCAAGGCACAGCAGACGCTGCACGTCCACCTCCTCCCTCCCTCCCTCCAAGGAGACCCCTCTCGTGGTCCCCCCTCCAGGGACAAGGTTCTGCTCCTCTTTTCCCTCCTTCACGGAGGTCCCTCTCCTGGCCCCCCACAGCTCCCAACGGAGGGCCCCCCGAAGCCACCAGAGGCCCACGGTCCGCGGAGGCCGTATGAGGCCTCCAGAGGCCTGCTGGAGCCGAACAGAAGACAGGGTGCCCGCACGGGAGAAACACTTGCTCGTCGTGGCATGGCAGAGGCAGAGGCAGCCCGCACGGACGCTCGAGTTGCCGGGGGCGCTCGATGAGCTCATTGACCAGCTGCCAGAGGGGGCGCGCAGGGAGGAGGCGCGGCCGCAGAGGACTGGAGGGGACGGGGAGGGCCCTCACAGGAGACGGGGGGGAACTGCAGGAGAAACGCAGTGCGCAAGCAGAACCTGCCGGAGGCCTGCGCGGATCCCCCTGGGTCGGCGCTGCGCGCCCAAAACGGCGCCTCCGGCGCCGCCCGCGGCCCGCTCCGCGCCCCGCGCACACTGCCGGCCAGCCATCCAGGCGGCGGGCGCCCGGCGCGGCCCGGGGCGACGGTCCGACGGCGGAGAGAGGCGGATCTGGCACGACGCCGCGGGGCCTGAGGGCAAGGTTGAGCAGGGACCGTCCGTCCCGGCACTCCTCTAGTCCTACCACGACATGTTCTGAGAACCCAAAACTGTTCGAATAACAAAAACAGTGCTTTTAGAACATGCGCCCGATGTGATAAAGCAAGACAGACGCCGCCAGAAAACCGCAAAAGGTTCTTAGAACATTGCTTGCTAGGGCTATAGGCGAGCCAGGACGCCTCGACACCGCTTGAAAAGGTGTCCCGCACCCCTGGGGGCCTTCCCCCAGGACGGGCCCCTGGCCCTGGGCCGGCTTCAGACAGCCCTGGAGTCCGTGAAGGCCAAGGGAGGCCCCAGACGGCGCACTGCCACAGGACCCTTCTCCCTCAGGCCCCGTCGGCTCCATGGCGGGGGATGTCGGGCGCCGACAGAGGTGGTCCTGGCCGACTTCGGGGCACACCCTCTGGCTGCAACTCATGGGAGGCCTTCGCGGGAAGTAATGAAGGGACCACTGAGCCAGACTTAGCCCAGATGAAGCCCAGGAGTAAGGCGGACTGAACGGGACTTCGGATCTACCAGACGACGATGCTGAAATTGACCTCCCGAGGGCTACGCCCCCCAGGTCTACCAGAAACGATGCAGAAATTGACCTCCCAGGAGCTGCTACTCGGGGGGGGGGACACCAGGCGCTCACGAAAGCCATCCTGGCCGCCTTCGAGCCCCAGCTCCCCTCATCGGGTCAAACCTGCGCCCTAAGGCGGGTTCGTGTCGTGACGACTTCTGCTTTGGTCTCTGACACCGCCTGGAGGGTCCAACCTTGAGTCAGATCGCGCCTTCCCCCGCCGTCAAAGCAGACCGTCCGATATCGGCCGATTCCGGCCCACCGGCGGCGCTCAACCCTGAAGGCCCACGCTGGGGTCGCCGCCGAGTCGACACGACACGAACCTGCCGCAATTACTTGTGCCAGCTGCACCCTGCCTATGCCCCACCTGTGGCAGATGCGCCATGCTTGCGGCCACTGGCTGCGACGACCAGGAGCAGGCCTACGAGAATGTGCCCCTCCCCCTCCCCCAAAGACGCCTGTCATCCGAGGGCCTAGCGGCGCCAAATTGGCCCGCTCTGGCGGCCCTGAATCCCAAACTGATGGCAAAAGGTTTTGGGACAGGGAACTCTTGCCAATTCCACCATGGGAGCTGCCGACAGACGCTTTACAGGAGCGAAGGTGGTAATTCCCCCCAGGGAAAAGAACAAGTTCCCACGCATACCCCTTGGGGGCTGCTGGAGGGGCGGATGTGGTTACAAATCGGATCGAGCGGGTGGGGGGAGGGGGGGGCGGAAGCAACTTCTGCAGACGTACGTCCGCTGGCCTGCTGCTGGCTTCTGCCGGGAGCCGCCCCCGTTTCGCTGCCGCCGCCTTCACTTCAATCTTCCCCCGACTCCCGCCGTGGAAGACGAGACCTTCAACCTCTCGATCCCTCGATGGATCCAACTCATTGCTCCGAGCGCCCGGACGGATGGCCCCGCGCGAAGCCCAGAAGCCCAGCCCTCCAATGCTGTGATCAGTTCTAGGCGGGATCCCTTGACGCCTGGACACCTTCCCTGGGACCGGTTCTCCGTCCCGGACCGCTTTTTCGGGCGGCCCCTGTGCCCAGAAACGGCCGCCGGAGATCGAAAATGGCGAGAGGCCACCTTCCGGAGTGTTGCAGGACAGCCTGCAGTACGGTCTGGGATAGGGGGCCACATGCGAACCCTACCCCTATAGCCCCACGACTTCTGAGGGGGAGGGTGGGGTTGGTTCTCTTCGTTCAGGAGCTCCCGAGCGAAGCGAACCCCACCCTCCCCCTCAGAAGCCGTGGGGGGTAGGGGCAGGGTTCGCATGTGGCCCCCTTTCCCAATCCTCTGGAGGATCGATTTTTGTCCACCGTGCGGGCTCCAGAGGTCTCGCCCCCTGCCCCGGAACGGTTCGACCCACTATGAGATGGCACCGCGACCCCCCTAAAAAACTGCCCCAAAATTCCGATGCAGAGGGAAACGCAACACTGCATGTGCATTGATATGAACAGACACACAGTTATGAACGTGTGTATGTACACATACAGATATGCCTGAGCCACTATTCTACAAAAACGTTGCACACGTGCATCAATACACACACGTATACGCAGATATCCAATTCCAGAAACCCTGAGCACAAACATGTTGACGTCTCTGCTGGCTTCCACCGTT